TGTGTTTTCTGTGTTGATTAATGATAGAAAATCTGTAATGACCTTTAATGTGTAAACGGACTTGCTACTGAATATTTATGATCTCATTTTAAACATGTTATGTTATGTGTCCATTTCAGAGTAACACGACGAGCAGAACAGAATTTGTCGTACATTCCTAAGCACATGACAATCGTTTATTCTAGTCAAACTTGGAAATCACTTCCAAATGATGTAAAAACATCACCAGCTTAAAGCACTATTGTGTTTAACACTTTAGAGAAAAAAAAGTTTTTGATTTCTGCTATAGTATTGTATATCCTGTTAAAGTTTATACTTTATGCTATGCTAGCATATATGTTTGTTAGGCTCCGGCCATTTTTCTGTGATAATTGATGTATAGTACTGAATGAAGTGTATTGGTATTAATCCTTCTCGACCTTATAATTGTGATAAAATGAATGAGTTACGTGTAAACTTTTCGAATTTAGATGACAATTGACATCAGTACGTTTGTATTTATTATGAACTGTTCTGAGATGAAGCGGTTCTATCCAATCAACTGTATCAATGTGATAGGAGAAGTTGCTTTTAATGTGAAGTTTTGTAATGTTTTAAAATACATAATTACTCTGTATTGTTGTCTGGTAAGCCTGTGCTAGGTGGGCGTAACCACAGGGACCTGAGAATTTGTTAGAATTATATTTATAATAATAATAAAGGCTTTATTTATTTCTGATAACATATTGAGCATGAAGCTCATCTTACACATGGTCAAGATACAATGTATGATAACATGTACAATATTTACAGCTTTAAGAAATACACATGTATAAAATACAGGATAAGGGAGGAAATCATAAATCATTTCAAGTAAAATTGCTTTGCAGATCTCTTAAATTCTAAAAATGAAGTACAATTTCTAATGTGACTTGGTAAAAGATTCCATGTAAGGGGTCCCTGATATCTAAAAGATTTTCTAAAAATGTTTGTCTTATGGCATGGCAAGTAAAACACATTGGTAGATAATGATCTTGTAGTTCTACCCTGAACATATACGTAAAATCATTCAAATTTTGTGGAGCTAAATTATACATAAAAACCACTTGATTGTATAAAAATCTTTTGTGCAAAGGTAACCAATTTAGTTTTTTGAACATATCACAGGAAGGTGCAGCCGTTCTAATTTTACAATACTATTTTTTGAACTGGTACCCCAAACAGTTGAGCAATACTCCAGATGTGGGTTAACAAAGCAGTTAAAAAAGGTCATACAAGATGACTGGCTCAAGAAGGGTCTCAACTTTTTCATCTGAAAAATTTGACATGATATCTTTTTACAGACATTTGTAAATTGAATGTTCCAAGAGAGACGATCATATATGGACACTCTCAAAAGTTTTTCACGTTTTACATTTCCAATGTTTATATTGTTGATAACAACGGACAATTCTCCGGTTAATTTACATTTTTTCTGTGAAGTAGTAACAAGCATGACTTTTGTTTTTTCTGTTTTTTCTGTGTTTACACACATTTTGTTTTCATCGCACCATTTTGACACTAATTTAGCATCAGCATTGAGGTTAGTATTTACAATGTCGAGTTATTTCCCTTGTGATTGCGCTGCGGTGTCATCAGCGTACATATACAAAGAATTTTGATTTGTAATCAGGGGCAGGTCATTTACATATAAAATGAACAAAAGTGGCCCCAATATTGACCCTTGAGGGACACCGACTGTAAGAGGGAGAGAATCACTCAAAGTGTTCTTAAAGTTTAAAATTGGAAATCTCCCGCTCAAATAACTTTGAAAAAAGATCATTGTTTTGGATGAACACCCATACAATTCCAATTTAGACATTAAAATATAGTGGTTCACAAGGTCGAATGCCTTTCGAAAATCAAGCAATAGAACACCTGTCATATTTCGACCTAAACTAATGTCAGTATTACCCCCAATGGTTATGTATACGAGCATTCGGGTGTCATTTTTACGGAAAGTCGGTCTAACACTCTAGTTTAAGCCAAAATATAGCAGTAACAAATCATCAGGTCCCTGTGGGCGTAACTTTAATATTTGTCGATTTTATAAATGTTTATTTGTTGAACACGTAAATAAAATGTTGAACTTGAACTGGTTATTTTCTTTGTAGTAAACGATATACATAGAACAACATCAGAAATACAGCCGGGGACGTCATTGTCGATCTCACTGATGTTACCAGCATGTGCGACTCATTCATTACACACCTAAAATCTCTATACAAGAGATATGCCGTCCAAACAGGTACAAATACCGAAAAATGATAAACTAGTTTTTTAATCGCTTTAATAGGGAAATGTCTGAAATCAAATAGGTTAATGCATAGGATAAACAAATTATCTTGCTCATACTAGAAAATACAAATAACTAAGACATACTTCCACTTTGTTAGGAAATCTATCGTATGGTATTTCAACAAATACTTGTATGATAAAACATTATTGCTGTTGCCTTATACTATAGAAAATAATTAAAAATGCCATGCACTCAAATATATTCAAAATAACGACATATTGACGACTCAATATGTTTTACAATGAAATCAGTCCAACACAACTATCTGGCAAATATGGGTTGTGTTTTAGTTTATCTATAAATAAACATAAGATTTTCAGTTGGTTTGTTTTTTTACTAAAGGGAGTAATGGAGGTTTTTTTTTCTATTACGATATAAAATTGTGTAAAAACCATATAATTATATAGTTTGTCGAATTTTTTGAGGTAAAATGCATTTTTTGGAAACTCGGATTTATAAGCAGTTGTAGGTCATTTTATTTTTGTAAATGCATGGTGCAAATAGTCGTGGAATGGTACCGATTATTTCTATAAAGTAAATGCAAGGTCAAATAGTCTCCAAATATTGCCTCTCATTTCTAACAAGAGATCCCAGACGGGTCTTCACGTCCACCACTGTACCATCTTCATTAGTTTAATCTTTTCTCTTGCCTGTTTGATCGAGTCATGTTAACAGTACAAGCACCTTGAGGTAACTTTTGATCTAAACTGTAATACTGATGTGTATAACAAGAGGCCCAATGGTTACCTGAGTTATATCATAGGTACTGGTAGCTGTATTTAATTGTTTAGATGTGTTGTGGTAATCAGCATGTATTTAACTAAGTGAAATGCAATACTTGTCATGTCGTCAAAGGCCTCGCCCTAGCCCCTGGGGATGGGGCAGGAATCCCAATTTTACAATGTAATACCCTCATCCACCAAAGATGATTCTGACAAAGTTTGAATAATTTTCTGCTGAAAATGGATAAAATATACCCAAAAGTGTTATTTCCTATAAACTATAGTAAACTTTACCCCCTCCCCAAGGGAGAATGGATAGCTTGGGGGTCCTGAAATTTACAATTCAAATAAAGCCCCTGACGATCTTTCCATCCATGCTGATGCAGAGAAAATAACTGTAGTACCTCCGAGTCTGGAGAAGAAGATTTTTGAAATATTGGTTATTTTTCCCTTTGGGGCCCAACCCTGGCCCCAGAGGTTGGAGTAGGAATCCCAATTTTACGATTCTGTAGCCTCATCTACCAAGGATGATTCTGACCAAGTTTGAAACAATTCCATCCACTGGTTCTTGAGAAGAAGTTGAAAATGTAAAATGTTTACGCACGACGACGGTTGGAAAGTGATTGGAATAGCTCAAGTTGCTCAAGTGACCTAAAAAGACAACCTTCAAAGTGAGTTTGTCATTTCACATATTAACTTTAGTACAGTAATTTGAACGAAACAGAACCCATCATTGCAATATGAGAAAGATCTGTTTAGTTCTTCCTTTGGCCATTTTGTTTCTACGATCACTCTCAAAATAAAACATGCACAACTGGGGATCAAGGGGAACCTTCATATCAAGTTTGAGAAAGATCCCTGAAGTACGTCCTGAGAAATAGCACTAACAATCCTTCAATGTCAAAAATCAAAGATGGCCGCCTATCGGCCATTTTGTTTATCTGATCAGTCTTAAAAAGTAGTCTTGTAATTCTCTGTTCGGCGTAGTTTGCGCAGATAACAAGAGTCTGGTTGAACGAGACTATCTCAAAAGTAAACATGAACAATAAAGGACGATGGGGAACCAACATAGCCAAACTCAGAAAGTTCCCTTCAGTACTTCCTGGGAAATAGCACTAACAATCCACAGGGGTTCGTTACAAATGTCTGAAATACACATGCTTTACTGATATGGGTCTGCGTGCTGTGACCCATATCAGTAATTTCCAGTACAAATACAGATACACTGAGATACAGTATAGCATATATGAGTTTTTCAGACACTTGTAACGAACACCTGTGAACAAACCTTCACTGTCAAAATCCAAGATGGCTGCATGTCGGACATTTTGTTTATCTGATCAGTCTCAAAAGTAAACATGCACAACTAGGGATCAATGGAAACCTACATATACCACTGGAGAAAGTTCCCTTGGTGCTTCCTGATAAATAGCGATAACAAACCTTCAATGCCACAATCCAAACCAAGGGGAACCTAATGTAAAATTTAGGAAAGTTCCCCTTGGTGCTTCCTGAGAAATAGCGATAACATACCTTCACTGGTAAAATCCAATATGGCCGCCTGTCAGCCATTTTGTTTACCTTAACAGCCTCAAAAGTAATCCTATGGGGCAATGGGGCAATTTTAATAGCCCACCATCAGATGATGGTGGGCTAAAAATAAAGCCACAGTCTCAGAATGTTACTGCTCTTTTATTTCAGCGGAGGTATGAGGATGGGAGGTCAAGCAGTCTCTGATTATTACCAATCATTTCAATATGAGTCCGCTAGATAATCACTACTTAAATGAAATTACTGAGGCATTTCCAAACGTCATAGATTATAGGTGCTTATACACTCTCTATTTAAGATCAGAAGAACAATGACAGGTTAAATCTTTGCTATCTCACTGACAAAGCATTGGTGCATTGGAGCAATCAGTGCGAGTCTTTTACAACTACAAAAAACATACAAGCCTTACAAGAGTTAATCTATAAATTTATTTTGATGAAATGAAGAGGACAACATACACACTAGCATGATGATTTTATAATGGAAAACGTTTCAAGTTCAAGAAGTGTAAAAGCGCTTCACTCAGGCCCACAGCTGGGCATGAGGTATTGGCCCTCGCACAGTAAAGCTTGACTGACAAATGTACAGGAGACATAGAGAGTTATGACAAGCCCCCTAATCTATAGGGTGTAAACATTGTCTTACATATCAACATATATAACATATATATATATATATTATTCCAAATTTCCGATTTTGAAAATCAAATACTTCAGAACATCTTTGAATTTCACTTAACTTGCTCTTATCTTGAATGAAAAACCATAGCATCCAGATACAAGTAAGTAAGGTGGAGGGGATATGTGATCACATGAATCTAATTTATAAAAATACACTCAACCATATTGTATCCGTCAGTGACTGCCTTAGTTATAATGAAGATGGTAGACATTACTACCCCGGAAACCTTTTATAAGAAAACTAAAAAAGTTTGAATGTTTTATCATGAACCTTACTCCTGCAATTATATAACAAATTGTATCAACTCAGTAGCTCAATAAGGTATGTGTTATTTACTTTGACGTTTAAACTCTGTATACATTTATTACAACAGTATCAACATACCATACATAGCAACAATGAAGTGAAGAGAGAAATCAAGGTTTAAATATTCTATTCTTAATAAGATAGCTTGTATTATCAACCTAAATCCTTCTTCAATACTAGCGGTGTTATGCTCATTTTCACTCTCTGCACTCCCTGAATATATGTTAAAGCAAAATTGATGGCACGCTGCTAGCTATTTGATTGGTCTCCGGTAAAAAAACAACCTGACCAATCGCTAAGCTGATACCTGCATTTATCCTTTGAAGATTACCGAGGCTTGACACCTGTATTCAAAGCCAGTCATTTTTACTGTTACGTGACCGACAGATTCTTTTGATGTACATTAAAGGAACAAACTAGTCTTATAGTCTCATCAACATGGTTGTCACACTGAGGCTTCGATTTTGCTTTGACATATTCCAGGGGTGCAGTGAGAGAATGTGAGCCTAACCCCTGGAGTATCAAGGATGAATCCTGGAGTATCTAGGATGAATCCTGGAGTATCGAGGATGAATCCTGGAGTATCTAGGATGAATCCTGGAGTATCTAGGATGACCTGAACCAGGACACAGAAATTGAGTTAACTAAACAGCAGTTTTATGTTTGAGTTTGCCACATCAATTTGTTGCATATTTTCATCATTTTCTTTACATATTTGATTTTACACATAACAGTAAACAGTTCTTTTGAACACCAGACTTATAATGCTTACAGGGTCATCAACAAATATCAAAACGGGGAATAGTGCAGGGACTTCCAATGTACCATCCATAGGTTGTGTGATGACCACAAACCTCGGTGATGCTTTATATACACTATTCAATACATACACATCAAAAAAAAAATCAATATAAAAAACAATTATGCCTATTATAATATTGCTTTTCAAATAGAGTGTGTTTGACCTAAATTTTTCTTTTTCGTTACAAATGATGATACAAATGTTCATATATAATCATTTCACAATGAGTGATTTCATTTTATCAATAAAACAACTACTGCAAATATCTCATCTTCCTTACAATGATATCTAGGATGACAATAATAACCAAATGCAATACACCAAAAAATACTGAGCCTTCTTGAATTTGTTTCGAGGGTAACAATATTAAGTTAGGGACACATAAAACCAATGTAGTTTTGCTGTACCATATGTTATATGGTTTACAACAGGTTTTGTGAAGTTAAAGCACAACTGTATTTGATAATACTGCATTTTACATTTGACAACCCCTGGTTTATTAGTCCTTAGAAACAGGTCAAGGGACCGCAGTGTTCAGAAATAAGTCCACCCAGTGCTAAGAACCAAGCCCTCCCCCCTAGAGACCCAAGTATTGAGAAACAATTCCAAGGATCCAAAAATAAGAAGCAAGTCTAGGGCCCCAAGAGTTATGAGACAAGACCAAACTTCTGTGCTATTAGAAGCATGCCTAGTAGTCTATTACACTTCAAAACAGTTTAAGCTGAAACAAATCACCCTATTGCTTTAATTTGATCATGTATGCATGGTTTGTGTGTTGTAATTGTTGTTTGCATGTATTTTAAAGTAATAAAGAATGAATGATGGAAAAACAAAGCCAGGGGTCTAGTCTTTGGGAACAATCCTATGAAAGTAAGTTTTTATAACCAAGCCCAGCTAGGTGCTCAAATCAGGGTAGCACTGGCACTGGGCTTACCCAGGTTAATATGACAAACATTGACCTTATGTATCATCTAAGTGAGCTTAAGGAGATATGCTACCTTATTATGACATTAGACATTAACTGTTCCAAGAGAGTTCCAAACGTGTGTGATATTTTTGAATGGGAAATTAATAGTTATCTGCAAAGCTAGCACTTGTGCTAATCTAAATTACTAAACAGTTAAAGAAGTTAACTCTTCAATACAAATCAGTCATAGTGGAAGATACAAATAATGTACATTAATGACAGTACACTAATCATCAGTGATCGTATTGCGTACTAGGCATGGTAACAGGACCAACAACTTATGATGTGATAGAAAATTACAGCATTGTGTAAAATATGACCATCATATTATTCTTAAGATTCAAATGTACCTGGTACTTGATTGAAAGCTGGCTTTAGTGTCTTCATCTTGTATCTCTACTCTTAGATAAGTAGACCACTTTACTCAGAAGGAGAAAATGGAAAATTTATTGATGTTTGTATATGTTTGTATTTCTTTTCATCAAATTGTATTCAATCCCTACCTAATGACACTATTTCTTCTCCCTTGTTTAACACCTCACAATATATGTTATCTCAAAAAGGTAGTGTTCAGTTTATATTATTTGAAGTTAAATTCAATATTGGCTTGATGTAAGTTCTGCCCATCAAGTACACATAATGTAGCAAAAAGTTACTATCATCAGTCAAGTCATTAAACCTGTCGCTCTTTTTATACACATTTTGGGAAGTAATTTGGCATATTATCTTATAATTGCTGTTTTTTGGGGGGGAAATGCTGAATATAACACATGCATGCATGTAACATGTAGTTTCTAAATGAAGCCGATTACCAGATACCTTCCTCACTGGTGAAAGTAACTTTCTGCACAAATTAAAATAAAGTCTAGTACAATGTACTGAATGTAAAATCAGTCCATAGATATTAAATAACTACTGTTGATCTTTCTTTATGGTAACTATCATTATATAATATCACAACCTTGTATTTTTAGATAAAAATAGTTCATTACAACTGTATCATAAAGCTGATTTAAAGGTGAATGATCAGTGTGCTATTAATAGATTTAGTTTCATTTTGATTGATTTCTAGGTCTGTGTTCAAATAAAACAGATTAGAATCCTATGTTTTCTATTAATATATTATTTTCTTGTCTTTCATGGGGAAAACTTAAAATGGTCACCAGATCGAAAAAAAGGTCTGCTTTGAGTGACAGCCATATGTTTATGATCTTATATTATTGACAGCTAAAACACAAAACACATTTTATAAACATCATGTGCAAGCTAGTGTAAGATAAGAAAACATACAACTCATCTTGTGTGCACCAAGCAACTATAGCCCAGACATCATTTTTTCAAAGTCTGCTATTATTTTCCAAGTTTTGATGTCAGATATTTTGCTTTCCGCTCAACAAATCTGTTTCTACTCTGTTTAAATTTCATCTATACATAAAAACATTTTTAAACAGATTTCAATGGTTGACATATCAAAACCTGCTATTTTATTTAAAATCACTATCAAAATGACCCGAATATAACTTTTGATGCAAGTGAAAATTAACAGAAAGTTTCCCAATTTTATACCTAATGTAAAACGACGGGACGGACGGAGGAACAGAAAGAAACAAAGACAGAAGATTCAGCACACATTTACAAACATTTATCATTTAAAAATGTCAGATTCATTGCCTTAAAATGACAAAATATTCTCTACCTAAATGATCACAATAGTGACGATGAATAATAATTTACACTTTACGCACAAAGAAATGGTGATTAAAATATAAATTGTACAAATACTAAGTGTACACAACGTTTTCATAGATAAATATTCAAGTGAGACTAACAACATCATACAAGCATGTGCAAGGAACCCTGTTGTGTATAGTATTTCAACTTATTACTTCGTAACATTTTTCATTGGAAGTAGATTATGAATATTTATGATATAGAACATGAAATAAAAACGTAATCACAAGATATGATTAATGTTTTTAATACAATGCAGTTGTGCCTTAATGAATCAGAATATCTTTTATAACTTACAAAATCAAATACTTCACAAGTTTTTCTATCTCAGATTATAGTATTCCTTTTAACACAACAAAGAGTAAAATTGTCGTAATAAGTAAAAAAATGGTCTAAGTAGCCTAATAAATATACATTGTCAAATTACTGATGATTTTCATCAATATTCAATATATCTTTGTGAATATTCACAACATTTCATTATCCACTGACATGAGAGGGGTGAATGTGTGAAGCACATGATGAATGATGTTAATTGGGAGTCTTTCATCAACCTCTAAATCTACATCAGAAATGTAACTCAATGAAGATACAAAACAACATGATCATGGATTCGACTTCCAATTGTATTGGAATGATAGTATTGTCATTTCACTTCAATATATAGTTATTTTTTAATTCCAATTCAATTCTAATTCTGTAAATAAACACAACAAACAAGCACTGAGGTATGTTTGTCCGAGTTGTCACAGTGCGACAGCCTTCGCGGGACTGATCTAGAGACTAAGAGCCAACTCTCTAGAAGTATTCTTCAGCATACAGCCATATACCAGTTCATATGATTTGCACTTTTCCAATAAAATTTCACACACATGTTGATATGACACCACTCACGAGAAAACGTCGATCCATTAAAAATATTCTGATTTCACATATTGAAGTTATTGACTTCCTCATAACTTCTCGGAGTAGATACAGTGTGAGAGGTTTACATCTACTTCACTGTCATTACACCGGGCCTTGGTGTTCAAAGCAGGATACTGATTAATCAACTGTATAGAAGAAGAATTGTGAATAAAGTTCTTCTATTCCCATTTCAAAGTATTTTATATACTTCACTAAAGACTTAATTATTTTAGAACTATAAATAGTTGCCCCAGTTTCCATATTTTCCTGATGTCCTCAGAGACATGATGACTCAACTTAACGTCACAAGAATTAGTAGTCACAAGTGTTTTGGTAAGATTAACCCAGCACTCCAGTTTGAATTAACAACGGAAAATGACCAGCACTAAATTCTGATTAGTCTTAATAAGTAGGAACAGTGATTAGTGAGATCATGCTTTAAACATACCGGGCCCAGGTAGTGTGAAAAGACTTGAGACCCCCTCAACACTGAGGGGTGTTACCACTCTGGTCAATATTTGAGCTATGGTCCCAGCTACCCGTTTGATTGTTAGCTGCCACGTTCATGTTCCCACTGGGGTTATAACTAGGCATGTTGTAGTTTCCCCCCATCTGGCCGTAGTCATACTGGCCCTGCATGTGCATATAGGGAGAAGGTGCAGGCATGCCGTTCTGCATGAGGTACGGTGATGGCATAGGGAATGGGTACGGGGAGAATGGAAACCCCTGCATCATGTTGGATGACATCATGGAGGAGGAGGAGGATGGCTGCTGTTGCATTGTGGAGCCAAAGTTTGATTTATCAATGCCAGACATGTCCGAACTTTGACCCGATCCCATTGATGCAGATGAAGAAGACGGCATGTTGAAATATTGCTGATTTTGTTGCTGAGACTGAGAGGACATGCCACTGTCATTTGACATGGGATTAGCGTGAGGCATGAGCATCTGGTTGTTCATATAGGGATTCATACCCATACCCATCCCCTGCGACATATTCCCCTGGCCCATATTGTAGGGCGAGTAGGGCATCTGTGGGGGTAAGTAAAAGTTTGACATGGGGTTTTGAGGGGTCCGTGTCTGTTGCTGTGGCATGCCCGACAGATTTGGCGCAATTTTTGCAAGCTTAGACTGTTTGTGTGAAACTGTTCTATTGTTGCTGTCGCCACCCAGGTCTCCCAGGTGCTGACTATGATCTTGTTGATTCTGTTGTGAAGGACCCTGATGTTGATTTTGCTGTTGCTGGTGATGCTGCTGTTGTGACTGATTCTGTTGTTGCACTTGTGGCTGAATCGGTTGAACCTGGGGTTGAATTGGTTGAACTTGTGGTTGGATTTGCTGAACCTGTGGCAAAATTGGTTGTACATGTGGCCGATTATGTTGCACCTGTGGTTGAATCGGATGTACTTGGGCAGGACTTAAAACTCCAGGAGACGACATATTTCCAGAAGACATACTACCTGGAGAAGATGAAGCACTGTTGTCTCCAAATGGGTCAGATAGATCTGGCAAGAAGTTCTTGTCCTTCATTGGTTGCAAAAACTTACTTTTTGTTGGTGGCAAATAGCCCTTATCATGTGAAACTGGCAGAAAGTCCTTTTTCTGTGAGGTAGGCAAAAAGCTGTTTTCCTCTGAGGCGAGTAAATAGCTATTTTCCCGTGAAGATTGTAAAAAGCTTTTTTCAAGTGTACTTGGTAAAAAAACCTTTTCGTTGGAGGTGGGTAAAAAGTCTTTGTCCTGGGAGACTGGCATGTAGCTCTGTTCTTGTGAGGTTGGCAAAAACCCTTTTTCCTGCGAAGGCAAAAAGCTGTCATCTTGTGATGTTGGTAAAAAGCTTTTGCCTCTAGATGCAGATACAAAGTCCATGTCCATGTCGTGAGGTGTCTGCAGGAAGTCATCTTCATGTGAAGATGCTAAGAAACTCTTTTCTTTGGAACTGGCCAAAAAGCTCTTCTCTTGTGAACTTGTTAAAAAGCTCTCATTATGATTCTGGGTTGCAAGAAAGTCTCCCTCCTGTGTTGTTGGTAAAAAGCTACTATCCTGTGTTTTAGACAAGAAGGTCTTGTCTGTCTTGGTGGGCATGGGACCATTGTCAGACATCGTAGACATCAACTCTTTGGTCTGTGTTGTTGGTTTGGAGGCCACAGTGTCGAGCATCTGTTGTTTAAGTAGAGAGTTGACTTGCTGTGACTGAGAGTAGATGGAAGCAAGGATGTTGGTGGGCGTGTCATGTGCAGAAGCCTGTGGAGGGGGGTTGAAAACACTCAGCTGACCATTTCCATTTGCACTTGTGGTGGACACGTGACTGGGGGTGACAATGGTTGCCCTGTTGGATGGTCGTAAGCCTGTCATAGAAGCAGAGACAAAATATTCATGAGACTATTAGACGAAAGTTGAAACTTGACAAAAAACCTGTAATATTTGTGAACATGATTGCTTCTAGCATTACCGTACAAAATTTAGAAGGAATTGATTAAAAAATAAAAAAAGTTCTTGCATTTACTACACAATGCCCATATTTGGCAATAAAAGGGGCATAACTCCACCAAAAATGCATGTAAACTTCTGAAATGTGAACTCATCCGAGCTTTATTGGTATGCAATATGTGTAACAAGTTTGTGTTCAATCAACCCAAGGGAACTCAAGTTATCACACGGAAACCTTGTTTCGGACGATGCAACCCATGCCGCTGATGCCGCTGCTGGCGACAAAGTAATTCCTATATGTCGCCTAGCATTGCAGGTAACAAAAAAAATGAGAAACAAGAACCAAAAAATAAAACTTTCATGATAAAGAGTTTGCCATCATATGATTTGATAGTAATACCAATTTTTTTTTTTTTAAATTCTTGGTATTATTTATTTAAGTAAAATAATACCATTGCAATGCAATTAACACATATTTCATAATTATTTCATCACTGCACAAACTTCTATAAATATTCCTGCCAAGAAAGAAAAGTTCCTTCAAAGTTACTATTATTTTTTAACTTCTGTTACCTGCAGAACTTGGTGAGATGATCGTCGTAGTTATGGCTGAAGAAACTGCAGTAGGTCCCGAGGAACTAACAATGATTTTTGTGGCATTGCTTAATTCTGGCATTTTGGTCCTTACAGAGAATATTTTTCCAGAGCTGGTTCGGATGTAGACTCCCTTTGGCGTCTTAATAATGAATATCTGTTGGCCGGCTGTGATCTTGTTTCCTGACACTCCAGCCCCTGCATCTGAGCTCGTGTTAGATCCAGGTAACATGATATCTAAAAACACAAAAGACTCAAACATGTGACATGTATGTACAAAATATGTAAAAAGTAAGGCACAAAACATAGTGATGATCATTTCTGTTGATATAACACTTGATGGAGAGTTCTTGAGTGTGAAAGTATTATTGTTCTGGTAAAAAAAATATGTTCATTTTGTGTAACAGCAGCATCGATATCCTTGATTCATTCGCACAGTCATAACTCCTCAGCAATCTCAATTGATAACTTGACAGGAACATATTTATTGAATAATTTGACAGGAAAAAATTTATTGGATAACTTGACAGGAACATATTTAATGGATAACTTGACAGGAACATATTTAATGGATAACTTGTCAGGAACATATTTAATGGATCACTTGACAGGAACATTTAAGGGATAACTTGTCAGGAACATAACGGATACCTTGACAATAACAAATTTAATGGATACCTTGAAAGGGATGTTTTTGTTATTCTTTTGGTAAAAAAAATATGTTTATTTTGTGTAACAGCAGCATCGATATCCTTGATTCATTCGCACAGTCATAACTCCTCAGCAATCTCAATGGATAACTTGACAGGAACATATTTATTGGATAATTTGACAGGAACATATTTATTGGATAACTTGACAGGAACATATTTAATGGATAACTTGACAGGAACATATTTAATGGATAATTTGTCAGGAACATATTTAATGGATAACTTGACAGGAACATATTTAATAGATAACTTGACAGGAACATATTTAATGGATACCTTGACAATAACATATTTAATGGATATCTTGAAGGGATATATTTTGAATCAGAGCAAGTTATTAGAAAAAAAAAGATCTTATTTGTAAAAACTTTAACAGAAGTTCATTCTTCCATGGTTTTACATTTTTCATCTATTTAATTGATACTTTCAATGTTAGCCAGTTTGTATGGACTGGGTTAAGTGACACATTTACTGAACTGAAATTTATAGTTCTACAGTGGCCATGAAAACCATGAATGTAAATATGTCAAACTTTGTGGTCTACAAATTTGTAAAACCTGGTTCTATATATAGTAGCCACAAATCATCTACAAAAGACATAAACAATATATATACTGTATGACATGAAATGTTCATGGGTATTTTCTCTCATGGTTTGAAGCCATTTAGATCGTTTCGTGGTTCAAACTTTCGTGAATACCTGTGTAAACGCAGGGGAGGCAAGTATATCAATTGAATTTGTTGTATTTATTTCTGTGGTTCCGTAGCCTCCACAAAAACCACAAATGTTTATACACAACATTTCATGTCATACAGTACTGTGTATGTTTCTGAATAAATCAGTATTTGTCTTGTTATAGATCTGTTTATATATAAATTAACTAGCAACATTTGCATAGTGCAGATTTTACTTTTGTTTTCAAATTTTCATTTGGCTATTTCTCACTAAAAGCAATCACTTACAAAGCCTATACAGTATATCAATACCATAAATTTAATCTCTGACAAGAAATGATGACTTTATGTTGAGACACCTCTCACAGTTAATAAGAGTGATCTGTGGTGTTACCTGTGGTTGTGACGACTTTATGGTGGGTCCCCCCTAACATTAACTAAGAGTGATCTGCGGTGTTACCTGTGGTTGTGACTACTTTATGAACAGATACACCAGCCTTGTTGACTCTATCTTGGCCCAGTCCTTTAGGCCTCATTGGCACCGGGGTGGTGATGATAGGCTTGACACTAGCTATAGGCCGGTTTGGATACACCCTAAAATTTACAAGAAAATGTAACTGTTTTACAATACAATGTATATACATATAAAACATAACATTAAATAGATCTTCCAACGTTTTACCACTGCTTTGAGCAGCTATATGGAGATTAGCTCTAGTGCGTCCATTCCTCCCCCCCCCCCCCCCCCCCCCCAATTCTTACCTGGTGATAGCTGGCCCTGGCTGTGGCCCGCCCCCTGGTCCTTTAGGATAGATTTAGGATAGAAAGCTGTACAATAATTTACCTGGCAATGTTAGCCATTACAATATCTTGTGATTAACCCTACTTTGTGGCCATCCCCACTCCTAATTCTTTACCTGGTGATAGCTGGCCCTGGCGGTGGCCCACCCCCTGGTCCTTTAGGATAGAAAGCTGTACAAAAAAGTTACCTGGCAATGTTAGCCATTACAATATCTTGTGATTAGTCCTATTTTGTGGCCATCCCCACCCCTAATTCTTTACCTGGTGATAGCAGGCCCTTGCTGTGGTGCGCCCCCTGGTCCTTTGGGATAGAAAGCTGTGTAAGATGGACGTGAGTAGCTGATATTTTGACGTTTTTGATTCACATAGTTTTGCTTGGCTATTCTCTTCTCTTTCTTGGATAGACGTAACTCCTTCTTGTCTATCAGCAAAGACTCGTGGCTGAACGGCATCTGGAGTTACAAGGATATCAGTATTATTAATTTCAAACTTGAAAATTCATATCTCACATGTGCCCTTGCTTTGATGAAAATGGAGCTGAACCAAAAGTTTGACCTTAGTCTCATGTAGAGTAATCCAGACAGAAATACCATAGTCCAAACGCATTTTCATGGTTTCTGAGCTTATCCTGGTGGATGGAATGAGAGAAAAATACTCTTTCATGCCCAAGGGTGTTGGATTGGGAAAATCTACCCTCAGGATTTTCAAATTTGGCGAAACCCTAGGCAAAGCCTCAGGTTTTAACCAAATTTGAAAACCCCTCGCATGGAATTTCTTTATCCTACACCCCTGTGCATGAGAGAGTCTTATAATCCAACAATCCAGCTAGTGTTTTGAATGACAGATTGGCTATATTTCTACAAAATGGTTCCAGTAATCAGATCCAGTTACTTTTACTGGGAACAAAGGTAGCTAGATTATGTAATGGGAACAAAGATAACTGGATAATCAACTAGGAACAAATGCAGCTAATAATCTACTGGGAACTTAATGGCCAAATAATCTACTATGAACATAGGTAGTGGGATTATCTAAGGGGAATAATGGTGTATGGATTATCTGGTGGGAACAAAGGTGACTGGATTATCTGGTGGGAACAAAGGTGACTTGATTATCTACTGGAAACAAAGGTGACTTGATTATCTACTGGGAACAAAGGTGATTGGATTTCTGAGGCTTTACTCTATGTTACATGAAATGATACAGTTTATCATACGACTTTTTACCTTTGTAATCCAATGGCTATTTTTCTGCAAAATCTTGATCAAAGTAGGATCATTATATTTTTCTTCACAGTTACTAGTATCTACTGGCGGGAAATCGTTGTCCTGAAAAAGAAAAGGAAGTCATTAAAAACAAACGGAAAATGGTTCAAAAGAACTTCACCATAAAATAACCCAAAAATAGCTAAAAAGTGATGCCATTTTTCTTGCCTTCATATTATTAAGCATCTCAGTTCAGCTTTCATATACAGGTCAATATTAAAACCTATCTCCTCACTATTAAACTGAAAGAAAAAAAGCTGTAATGTAAATACTCGTATACATTTATGTTTCATCTGACAATGACACACTATTCGTTACTTGTTAATAAAATTCTCACCTCGTAATGGAGGAGATTGTCAACATGGCGCCTAGAGAAATGATTTTGAGGGTTCAATTCATCCACAACACGATCTGTAATGAAAACATGCTATCCATCAGCACCAACAAACTTACACATGATTAACATAAAATATCATTTATGCTAGCAGACAACCATTTCCTAATTTGTCCATAACAAACTGCAGGTAAAGCTATTATGTTTCAATCTTTTTACTAAATTATCATTACCAAGAGCTTAACCATTAGAGAAGGGTAAGCAGAGATAAATTTACATCGAGAGAACTGAAATCAGACACATGTATACGTAATAGCTTGCCTACAAAACAAACATATCTGAGGTGATAAACATCTTTTACAAACCTTTTAGAGATCAGTTTCAAATTATTCTTGGTGTATGTATGTATCATACAGTCTTTACTTTTGAGGATAATCAGTTTTGTAATAATTTTTTATGACAAGGCTGAACTACTTGGTATTAAAATCACATTACTTTACTTCTACCATATATAAATATAGAAAACAGTATTTCTGATTGGATTAGATAAATTGAACAACATCAAAATATCACATCAAGTTCCCCAATAACATTATTGAAGTACACAATCACATTTCCCCCATAAGAACAAGTCATGTAACATTTGGTGTCCTTCTTTAAATCAATATTTTTTTTTATATTCTGATACATTGATTTACTTATTTTACCATTGTTTCCGAGAAACATAAACTTAGAATTCCCTTTCATCAATCATGTGGCTACAAATTGATCTTGGGGAAACAAATATTCATGTTTCCCCGATACAAAAATAAATTCAACATGCATCTCTATAATTTGCATGAAATAAGCTTGATTTAATTCCAGAAGGGCTTACCAGACATGCCCTGTTTGTTGATCTGGCGGTCGTAGATCTTCTTCTCCATTGTATTGTCAGTGACAAATCGGTAGATGAAGCTGGGTCTGGTCTGGCCAAACCTGTACACACGACAGACTGCCTGGCAGTCATGGCACGGATTCCAGGAGGCATCCATTACTACCACACGGTTAGCCCCTACCAAGTTCACTCCCAAGGATCCAGCCCTGCCAAAAGGAAATTAAATTTATAGACAGGATGATTTGGTCATAACAAGAAACTTAGTTCATATTGTCTAGAGCTCAATCTGAAATGATCATTCTCTGGTATTTTCCCTCTTTCTCCAACAACCACTGTAGATTTCCTCACTCATGACTCGTTAGATAAACCTGCTAGGAGCTGGTCAACATTTTTGGTTACCCACTACTAGTGGGTAACAACCTGGACGTTATGTCATTAGCCAATCTTTTAATTATGACATTGCATAAATGCTTTTAAGACATCATATTCCACTGTGACGTCATGCTTCATGGCAATTGTTTCCTCCATCCGAAACAGAAAATGAATTTTCCAAGGGAAGCACGTGGTTATCCAGCTAAAATATGAATGTTATGGGAGAAAAAGGTCCTCAAACTTGTGATGGTTCGTTATCATGTTTATCTAACTCTCACTAATTAATTTTCAAATTGTAAAAGACGCTCTTTATACTTAATGAAAAATTTAACTTTAAATACTTGAATTAGATAAACATGACAACTAACCATCACTGGTTTGGGAACCTCTGTATTCTCAACCTAGCTCTCCAAGAGTGATACTTACATCAACAAGTGGTAATGACAAGCATCAACATGGTTAAATGTATTCTACAATTAATGATTTCTACAGTGAACACACCTTGTAGACAGAAGAAACAACCAGGCTTGACTGTCTGGTTTGTTGAATGCATTGATCATTCTCTCTCTTTCTGTTGCACCAGTGCTGCCATCAAGTCCTATAATATTTAAAAAAAAAATATCTTCATTATCAACGACAACCATGTCAGTCACTTAATTTTTACACAAAAATTATCTCACTTGTTTAATCATGAGGAGAACTGTTAATACATCTAATGAAATCTGACACATTACAAAAATGGATACGTATCTGTCATTATTCCATTATTCCTTCTATAAATTAAAATCCAGACGAAACGTTTTTGCCCAATCACAATACAAACAAATCTGTTCATCATAAAAACTCCAATCTTGATTATTTGTCAACTTTCTCATAAACGAAATATATAAAAATAGGACCGTTCAAGGTTAGTTTGAGCACAATAAAAAAATAACAAATTCTCTTACATCATAAAAACTCAACTCTTGATTAATTATCAACTTTCTTATGAAGTATATAAAAATAAGACGGGTTCCTCTCTTACTGTAGTAAGACTTGTTCTTGACCCAGTTACAATCCGCATCTGGTCTTGGAACCTTGTGTTTGGACAGGAATTCTTCTATGAGGTTTAAAGTGAATAAACTTTGACTGGAAATATAAATAGAATTCTTTTTTTTTGTAATCATGTACATACAAGACTTGGTTATTTCAAAATCCCTGTTAACATTATGAAGAAACACAATAAGTTATCAAATCAAGAAACTCAATGCACTTTTTTATACTGCATTACGGATTATGTTTTTAGCCAAATCACACTATCGCCCTTTGCCAGTAAAATCAATATTCGCCAAGTTTACATTTCGCCCTTTACATTTAATTGCTATGTAGATTATGCTGTTTACTAAAGTTTGCTGTGATGATAAACTTGCCCTCTGACATTACAGAGGATGAAAATACAGTACATTTTGCTTACAATATTTCCACAATCAATGTTACTTGATGAGAAATTAAACAAGATTTTTCTCTGAACACATATTAGGACTGAATACTTTTGTGCTGGCTAACATTCCTTTTTATTGTACTGAATTTGTTTTTGTCTTCATTATCATCCAATATGATATCTGCTTTTCATCTATATCATCTTTAAGGTAAAGGCAGCAGTTACTTTAATACAGTTCATCAACATTCTTTTGAACAGTTAAAATCATCCTTTACACAAGTACATGTGCTTGGTTCCTCTGAACCAGTAGAAATCATCAGCTTTACCTAAATACCACGAATTGACAAATACAAAGACTCAATCCCTCAGAACTAGTAAAACCATACCAGTAAGTTTTACTTAAATACAAGGATTTGGTCCCTCTGACCCAGTGAAAATCATAAGTTACCTAAATCTAATGACAGGATTGCTGTGAACATAATTATCGGTACATAAACACAATTACTTTTTTTCCCAGAACCAGTGCACTTTAGTTTTACTAAATTATTCCAATATTATCCTTCAGAAACAGTAAACATGACTGGTTTTACCTAAATACAAGTATTTTTTCCCCTGCAGCAACAGCTTCGTCCAAAATGGTGAAGAGCAGCACCATCTTGCCTCCATTCTCCAGTAGACCTGGTATATGATTCTCCATTAGAGACTCAGCCTGAAGTTACAAAAACACAGTTTAATTTTGGATCGCGATAAACGAAAGTTGCCCAAGACAACCTTTGGTAGCAAAGGGCCTTAACTCATGGTAGGGCTTAAAACCGACCTCGGGACATAACACTCCACCTTCCAATTATAGCAAGGTGGGTGAAGATAAGTGATATAGGTTTGATCAAAATTGTTTTGAAGCCAAGCCAGCCAGCAATCTGACCAGGCCAGGCCAGGCCAGGCCAGGCCAGGCCAGCCAGCAATATAAAAAGGGGCGGAAGATCCATATGATGGATAAAATATTTTAAATGTTTTCTAGAAACCAAGCTGGTCTTTAGGAGTAGTAGACTGGACTAAAGTCGTAATTCTTTAAGACCAGTACTTGGAATATCAATAGAAACAAACATGGAAGGGACATCAAGAAAATGTATTATCTGACATATTACTGTAAATTGCTTTATTTCTGAGAAAGATCAATTTTTGCATTACTTCATGGGGAGACTCACTGAATTATTTATTCCTTCTGTGAATTCATATCATGAATGAATTATACTGATATTGAAACAGCATCCCCTCAATTACGAAATTCAAATATTTGCATATATAGGCATAGCTCTCAAAATAAAGCACACATGGAAATATGTGTTAAGTGATTTATAGTTTGCAACTACAGATTGAGACACTTGTACAATATTGATCTCTGGAAAATCCATTCAGAAGGGTTAACACACTGCAGGATCACGACAGCTGGTCAGCAGAGACAGAAGTGACAGGACTTCACAGTAATTTTGATATTGCTATCTCTCTACACATACACAGCTGATATTTGATCCTATAGTGAATACTGAATGCCCCCTCCCCTATAAACAAGTGAAATTGATATACACCCCAGGTGTTAGTTGTAATCAGTAAGTTAAGTGTGTATACCCACCCAATCATAGCAGACTACGTCCTCTTTCTTATCACTTCCTTGTTTCTCCACAGGCTTCTTGGATTTCTGCGAGCCTTTCTTGGCTCTACCTTCATTACCAGGGTCAATATCAAGGTCGTCGTCAACTCCTGCAACTTTCCTCTGAACCAACAGCTTGTGCAAGACATCTGGGTGATTCCAGATCTAAAGAAAGTACATTTGTAAGTGTTAAAGTACATATTCAGCCTACAGTACAACATGACCATATTATTATTCTCCAAAAACAAAACAATAATTGTGTGTGATTTTTCTTGAAGAAGTTCCTGGTATTCAGCTGCTCTAATTTTTTCTTACATCATATGTAAATAAACATTGAATTTGATGAAGACAAATCATATTTTAACAAAGGGCTGATCTAAGGTACTATATATCTGTAGGTTCTACTTTGATGTTCAGGCACAGATTGCCCTCAACACAACATAAAACGACGTTGGTGGTACACAACTGCACATGGCGCCATGTTGGAAGTGATACTTATGAGAAATGTTTTGTGAAATATTTTCTCCCATTCACAAGTATTTGGTCACATATATTTATTATATAGACAAAGTGTAATTCCTAATTTTACCATTCAGATGAGCCACAAAACTGGAAATTTCTTGACTTTTTGTCAATTAAGAATTTCTTTACACATACATATGTCTCCAGTAGATAACAGATATCGTATCTAAAGATATATATGAAGTGCTAATTTATTACTCCTGTAATGAATTCTTCCAAAATCTTGATTTATTTTTGCCTCCTGATTTTTTACATTAGCTGAGGCAGACAATTTTGATGGACTTTAAGCCCAAAAATTGCAAGGACAGATTTCAACGATAAAAAAAAATACTGAATGGGAAATTATATTAAAAAAAAGGGACCATAGGGTTGTACTAACCTTGCAGCATGTGGCAAATGCTCGCAGAGGGTTGTGATTGGACCAGGCACTGGCTGCGGTGAAGTTCTCAACCACAGACTCCAGAAAAGTTTTATACAATGCCTTCTGTATGGGCGACATCCGTATGAATAACACAAACTCCTGTTTCGGTGGCAAAGCCATTTGCAATACTGTGTGTCCACGCCTACAGCCATAACAGATTAACATGTAAAGGACATACAAAAACAAAATAGATATTACATCTTTCTAATGTTAAGTTTCCTTTTGTTCATGGCTTATTCTAAACGTTATTTTGTACATAAATAATCAGACAGGTTCTGCCTGCAGCATTATCACATTACCTCCAATTTGGGGCAAAATAGGGATGATGGAAATTGACCCTTTTACCCGGCCTGCAGACCATTATGGACTCCTCCTGACCAATGCACAGTAGAGTCCATTTAAGTTACACAGGGATGATGGAAATTAAGTATGATAATCAAATTATATGTGGGGAGACTTTCATCCCTTAACAGGAGAAACAGAAGATTGTTGTTTTGTTGCTCGAAACCTGGAGAATTCTAGGCTAATTGCACCACATTTATGATAAACTCTGTCCCATACACTACCAGGATTTGATACCTCAATGGACCATACCTTTGGACAAAGCCCTCAAGCAGACTATGTAACACATGAGCTCTGTGCCTCATGGTCTTTATGTCTTCCTCTGTACTATCCATACACTGCCCGTTCATCACCGGCCGCTCAAACATGTTGGAGAACTCTGTCTTGGTACCCAGGTAGTTTGGCCGCACATAGTCCACCATACACCAGTACTCCATCAGGTTGTTCTGTAGTGGGTAGCCAGTAAGCACCACTCGGCGTCTGTCAATCAGCCCACAATTTATTTACAAAGGAATCAACTTTTAGCCAAATTGACCCAAGATAATGTCTCAAAGGAGGGGATTTGTAAACAAACATCATTTACAAGTTTATTCAAAATATTGTCAGATTTTCATAATAAATTGCAGACTCTGGTTTCAAGAATTTTAATTTAATATTAGAGGATAAATAAAACACCAATGAAGTGAAATAGCCAACCTTGTTCGTATATTTTTTAAAGCCATTGAGATTCCAGCGTGACTGTTTTTTATCCTGTGCCCCTCATCGCACACCACGACGTCCGGACCAGGACTGACTAAAGCTTCATACATACCTACAAAGCAAAGTTCATGTAGAGTACAAATAATATATAAATCGTACCGATTCATTTACAGCTTGAAGATGGGGTTTGTGAACTACCCATGTAAAGTGTACTGTTATTCATTGTAAGTGTACACTAGGAAAATTTGAAGTCTACACTCCAGTTCTTGTTACATGTATCCTCGAGGTGCTGCAAGTGTACACTAAATGTAGACGATGGGGGTTGTAAGTGCATGCTATACATTTTACTATTTAACTTCCTGTACCATCTCAAACATGAATATGGTAAAACAAACATGCTGTTGTAAAACCATAAACGCTCGTTATAAAATTAACCTTTATTAGTGGGAGTTACCCTACATGACTTACTGAGTAGGTGGGTTTTGTTTCGGTCCTCTTCTTCTAAATCAATTACAACAGGAGAGGATGGCTTCCTGCCAGGTTTCTTGAGATTGCCCATGTAACCACGGCGACTAGACAGCAGACGGTACATCTCGTACCCCATCACTAGAACTCCTCCACTTTTATGCCATTCAGCTGAAATAAAAGATATTTCAGTGTTAAAAATTGAGTGCTGTTGTTTAAGTACTGTAAACTGGATATTTTTGTGCATTTATTTAAAGATTAAATAATTATAAATCAAAATATTTAACAAAATACACATGTTACCTGTACATTACACATATATACACACACACATACATATTATAACATATCCTCTGCCAGTCCAGTTTAGAAAATTGATTAAAATTTCAAGATCTATCATCAATTTCCGCCAATCAATGATTGATTTCTTTTACTTGTATCTGTTGTAAATGTGTTTTCAAGTTATATTTATATTAATTATTATGTCACATATTGAACTCATGTAAAAATACCATGTGGTTGCTTGTTACTTGATTTCTCTCAGTACCTGCCAGTTTTTGGTTGCTGGTATGTATTATTCAAGAAAAAGTATACATCTTATAACTCACCTGAACATTTGCATCTCCACTCGCTCGTGACCTAATTCATTCAGATGCTTGTATTTTACATACATGTATGATACAAGCAGCAAACTGAAAATGTCCATTTTCTTGGTGCCTATGAGGCAGGCTAATTACAACATCAAAGGCTCAAATACTTGTTTTAATCTAATAGATTTTGTTTTTAATAAATCCTTTTTAGAACACTTGATTCTAGATGCAATAAAACTTAAAATTCTCTTCACGCTAACTCATTCACCCCTGAAATTTCATAATGACCTATTCCAACCTTTGAATTTGAAGAGTTCAAATGTGTCTTGAGGGGCGAATGAGTTAACAGCCCAAATGTGCGTTTTGTAGCTATACATACCAATAACCTTCGCCCGAGTTGCTGTCGTTTTGTAGCTGTCATTCAGCAGATAGATTTCAAAGGCTCGAGGTATAAAGTCAGGATTGTCCCCTACGACAGAATGCACTGGCAGCCATATATTGAACTCTGCCACCCAGTTTTGTAGAGTGTTTATCGGCACAATAAGGAGAACACTTTTTAATGTGGTGTGACGTAGGAATATGTCTATACATGATACCATTTGTATTGTCTTTCCCAGTCCCATGCTGTGAGCTAATATACAGCCAAATCCAGCACTGCTTCTACACCGTTCCATCGACTCAATTAAATTGTCATATAAGAATCGAACACCACCAATCTGAAATGGCAAATTTTGAATTGATCAAAATGAAATGTAAAATAAACTTAGTAAAGTCTGAAAATGAAAAAAAAAAAAACACAAAAAAACACCAGATTATATGATATATGATAAATAAAATATCAGAGCCATAAATGTTAAAAAATTCCTGCTTTGCCTAAAACCTTGCTGTATTATCATAGTGTGATTTATCAGTTATGTCCTACCATATAAATAACAAAACATTCAACGTTTACATTTATCAACCATAATCAAAATAAGGCCATTCATTCCTTGACTAGTTAGTGCATTATTATCAGTTCTGTAAAACACAAACATTGATTTCATCAGTATCCTTAGCGTCAAAGAAATAGACTCAATACTTAATCTTTCGTTTCAAATAAATGATAGAAAACAACATTTTCCTCAGTCAAGATTGAACATTTTTTAAATATCACATTTCGACACTGTATGATTTGAAGTACAAGCAGATCTTAATGACTAATCTTGTGATGAAAAGATTTATGTTGAAAACCAAAACTGACTTGATGAGGTTTGATCACTCGCGCTATCTGTGGTGCCAGGTAAATGTCATCATCTTCTGGCGGATGACCGATGTTAACCTGGACACGACCATCAAGGTCGGCAACATTGAGATCATCGTTTATATGGTTGCCTCCATTGTTTGGGTCTTCTGGGTCAACTTCAAAGTCCTCGTCTTTTGTGATCTGGACAGCATCATCATCATCATCATCTTCATCACTACTGATGTCTATGACTTCCACTTTAAACAAGCAAAATGTGAATGTGTTTGTTTCTTATCAGACAAGTGACACAAAGCCATGCCCTGTATAAATATTCTCAATATAATGTGAATTCTGTTGTAGCAGTAATTTGTTTTGAACACATCAGGACATCTATGCAAGACAATACACATACAGTACTACATATGCATAAAATAAACATAAATTACATATTAATGTTTTCTAAGCGGCTGGGTGAATAACATGTATAACATTTATCCCATAATCAGCCTGTTATCCAGAAAATTTGCCCGTGTAATATTTTTACATATGTCATGAGTGTAATATACCCAGGAGAGTTTTTCATTGGCTGTGCCAGTCAGAAATTGATTGTGACATAATAGTATAGACAATGACGTGACGTCATAAATTGTGAATGGCACAACAAAATGACTGTCTCCGTTTGATTAAGCCCTCTACATTTTGGCTTTAAAACCTGTTTAAATGTAAGTTTTCTGAGTTATGTGATATAAATATCTGAAATTTGTTTGTATTTCATATGAGCTTTTATGAAACTCGTCTCGGAGATTTAATTTTTGCCAAGGCTCGCAAAAATAAAAACTCCTAAGACTCGTTTCATAAAATCTCATAAGAAATGAAAACTCATTTAAGATCCTATATTTATAAAAAAAACAACATTGCCAATATCCCCCACAATCAGCTTTTGACTCAATTCATGTTTTAATCATTGTCCCTAACATTTTGCCTTCCCAAGATGTATAAACATTCCAACTTGAATGATCCCAGGTGATATAATAAGGGAGATACACTCCTGACAAGCAGAATGTCACATATTTTTATTTTTAATTAAGATCGAAAGTCAAAATGTAGGTCACAGTGACCTATTTTTGATGATCGCAGGTGAAATGATGTGGGATATATATATATATATATATTCAGATAAGCATTACCTCACATATTTTGTATTTAAAATGAAGGTCATAGCTGGGCCAGTGCATAGGTCACAGAGACTAATTTTTAACTGACACTCTCTCATCTCAAGATATAAATGTACAAGAATTCATGAATTTAGAAAATTTCTTCTAAAGATATCATCTGAAATCCATAAGCCAATCATGATCAGACTGCAGCAGTCTTATTAAAAACATGAACAAGGGATTTGGGGTAGAAATAAATCCAGGCAACTTTCATAGAAATATGCAAATTTCTTCAAAATCGATTTTCTGGAAACATACCTTTAGAAATATAAATGTCCACTGGCAGTCATATGGAACTTTGGGTCCAACTTAAACTCAAACTTCAATTTGAATTGTAATTGTACACAAACCTCTGTGAAAATATTTCAGTTCTCAAAATGAAATGTTTTCAGTGTAAATTACTTTTGAACTTACTCTTTTCCTTTTTCTTGACTTCTTCCTCACTATCTACCAGAATCAGATCATCATCCTTCTCCTGCTTTATTTCTATGGGTGTTTCATCCGCTAGCAACAAAAAATGTACAATGTCATATGAACATACTAGTTCAGAAAGTTATTTAAGTTTTTTAACCGTCAATTTTCTATAACCCCCTTGCCCTTCAATGATTTAAAAACTTAGCAAAGCAATAAGTAATTTATGTGGCTTAAAAGTTTCTGCAGACAAAACAAATAATATTCTCAAAATAGTTTATCTGTATGTACATATATGATAGTTCAAGCATATTTTTCTTGAACCATATTAGATAGAATTTAATTAGATAGTTTATTTATGTGTGGTTAAGTGTCATCACAACAGCTAAGGTCATCATGAAAAAGAAGATAATAAAATATAATTAAGAAGGTAATAAATCATCATATAGTGGTGTTCCGATTAATCGACAAAGTCAAGCATCGGTCAGTTAGGCTAACAAACTGATTAATCAAGTACAAAATCCATGATCGATTTTAGTCGGAATTCTAATGTGTAATTATTGTGGAGTTTTCAGTAGACATTTTTCCCAGCTACTATGTAAAATTGTTGGCATCATCACTGCATGACTTACTTTTAGCTCATGGCTGCTAGTTAGGACTATATATAACAGATTCAGTGTATGAAGAGAGGTATTTCTTATATGATAATTACATGGTATCTCTTTCTAATTTGCCTAAGTGCCTAAGTGCCTAAATGCAACAACAGCATGAAGGATTTCACTATGTATTTCGATAAACTGATTATTAATCGATCATCGGTTGGTTAATGGAAACCAATGATCGATCATAAAACTTCAACCGATCCCCAACACTAAATCATATAGCCTTGAGCTAGTGCAAAAACCATCTTTCAAAAGCTTCAAGAATCATATATATATATATGGATAACTTAAAAAAACAAGGTCTATACTCTGTATACTGTTTATGCTTTGTACCACTACAGGAATTGTCACTTACGCATGCTTTGTAACAAGGATTTGAGCTGCGAGTCCTTTTCCTCAGCATCTGTAGCATCTGACACCTGGGTCGGAACAGAAGGAACTGCCGCTGCTAATGCCTTCTGCTGCTCCAGAAGTCGGCGCTTTCTTTCTATTTCTTCATTTTGTGCTGCTAGTGTAGTAGTTTCAAGTTCATTTTCCTGAATGATTTCCCTGTTAAACAGTTTGTGTACATGTTGGATGATCAAAATGTTTTTCCTATTTCCACAAATTTTCTGGCAAATGTATGGATGTTTATATATAATTACAACATTATAGACAGTAGGAATACAATGTACATGCAAAACAATAGGATGGACAAGAAGTTAGACCTATATAAAAATGAGAATAGCTGGATTATTTTCCTAACAATGACAGGTTATTTTCAAAATTTATTATTTACATGTATCTTTTTATGCTAAAAAAATATCATGATTATTTATTATCACACACAAAAGACTCATTGCTTAATTATTTGATAAACCCTCTAAATTTCCAATACAATATGTAGTGATACATTTTTTCATTCGTTCACAAAGCCAGACAAAATGGGTTCTTTACCTGATGTTTTTTCTCATAAAGCCCTGCTTTTTGGTTTTCCCTTTTTTGGTCTTTTTCTTTGCTGGTCCACCTTCTCCCTTTTCTTTCTTTTTCCGTTTCCTTTTCTTTGGTTTACTACTTTCTGGCTTTTCATTTTCAGGTTTCTTAAATGTCTTGTCGTCATCATTTTGCACATTTTCTACAACTGGACTAGAAGCTGCAACAACATCAGGTGCATTGTCAGCTGGTACACCAAAATCTTTATCGAGATCATTTATGATACCTGAAATGTCATCTGTCAGACTTTCAGAAACAGAATTTTCTGACATAGTATTCATCTTACTATCTTTGTCTACAAGGTCATCAACACTTTCATCACTATTCTCTTCCTCACTATTGTCATCACCATTTTCATTAATCTCATCTTCATCCTCATCCTCATCTTCTTCTTCATCCAAATCATCATACTCCTTCTCTTCATCTTCCTCAAAGTCTTCATTGTCTACTTCATCTAAGTCTTCATCACTTTTGTTTTCCTCTGCCATGCTTTCTTCATCCTCCTCATCAGAAAACATCTGATTAATCAAAGGATTTGTACCAGGGTTATCTAAACCAACTGATAATTTAAAGTCAGGAAAGCCCGGAGTACAACTTGTGGACTCCTCTTCTGTGGGTATAGAGACCCCCTCACCCAGGAATGATTCTAGAGACATGATTTGTGGCACATGTGTTTAATCCTGATGGAGTACTAGTGATCAGTGCACATATTCTATTAAGTTGGGTCTTTCTTTTCATGGATGACACAAAAACTGAAAAATGTCTCCATCAGTGCATATATCTAAAACAAAAATTAAATCATTTATGTTAACAAAACACTGAAGCATGCTGAAGAGTATAAACCGATTGTATCTACTGTACACTAATTAACTTGCTCAAGTAGTAAGTCCAAAAAGATATTATTGTAAAACACATTTAGAAGCAAGGTAATACTGTACTACTTGTCACTTGAACTTGACTGACAAAACTCTTTTATGAAATTTCAGTCAACTTATATATATATATATATTTATCACAATATTTGTCACAGCCATTAATTTCAGACCTTAAAATTTGACCAGTCGTGATGATGATTGTTACATATTGACACAAATTTTGCAAAACAGTTGGCTTAATTAAATCAGATAATTATTATCGTACAGTGTCAGGGTTAGATGCTACCTACTGTACTTGGTAGTCCAAAAGGACTAACTAGATGAATAGATTATATGCTAGTCTGATGCCATCGTAACTAGTCTAAAATTCCCTTACGGTAACATATTACCCACCAAGAAAAATGTAATGGACTTCTGCCATAAAGATATGGTGAAGTTTTCAGAATATATTGCAAATTATTATATAACCTTATGTCCTATCCAAATGAAATTGTAATCACATGCTTTTTTAATAAGTCCAAATAACCAGTTAGTTTTGAATCACAGGTTGACATCGATTTAAGCCAATGGCTTCTTTTAAATGTGTTTCACTACTCCTTACTGAAATCAACTAGTTTTAGACTCAATGACTGTTGTTGTGTCAGACCCTTTTTGTCACAATATTAATCTAAAAAACCTGTTTCTGTAATGTGACCTAAAATAAAGATGGCAGAAATAAGTGTACACACAATTTTGAATTTCTACATTCGCTTGGTATGTCTCCAGCTCTCTGTTAAGAGCAAAAGAGGGATTGTCCCTCAAATGTGGCACAATCTCTCATATACTAGAAGATCATTACCTAGTTAAACAATCAATTGTGGAATGTTGAATATTGGACTGATTTTCGTGATGATATTTGCAGTTTTCTAAGCTCTTGATTAAACTTCAAATCTAGGAAAGCAAGTGGTATACATGTACAATATCAGTACAATAACCTTGTAGCGCTTACATGTGAATTTGGCCTAACGTTACACACTTTAAAAAGTACAGCTAGCTGATCGATCCGACAACAATATAAATACATACTCTATATAATGAATAAGTTAACTCTATATAATGGATAGGTTAAATTATGTGACAAAAACGATGATAGAGTTTCTATTTATACTGTATACCCAATTATTGACATTGTGCCGACATCCAAGTTACCAGTATTTCATTATCTCTTGACGTTTGTTGAATACACATCGACATCAAGAACCAATAAGTGAATATATTTCAGTAACGTCAAATTTGATCATCGTTGACAGAAAGAGAAGTATAGAACAATCCCGTACTCGGATTATATAAAAAGAGATCACTTGTCACAAAGCCAGCTCACAGTAGGAACTTCGGCACACTTATCATGAAAATGTGAACAAAGATCCAATCGAAATTGAACGGGACGACTGAAATGAGTGTAGAAAACCGTGTTGTTAGTACAATACAATCGATTTCCATCTATATTACCTGTGAGTTCAAGTTCAATTTTAGATCCCAGGAATCGGGAAAATCCCACTTTCATCAACTTGCATTGAATGGTACTTCCGGTTGCAGCGCACCAGTCTTGTTTACTCAATCGAATTGACATTATCGAATTTTGACCGATTGGAAACCATAATTATAATTGTTTAAGAACTGTTAGTTATAAAACTGTTGTGTGTGGGCATTTTTTTTATCTATGTTTGTGTATGGTATTAATTCATTATTCATGATATTTGTTCCCTGTCGGCCTCTCGCCGAATTTACCAGATGAAAACCCTCTCGTGGGCCCCGCAAGCTATTTAACCGGTAGAATGTAACCGGCAGCATTATTTTATCAAAATGTGATTTTTATCTGTTTCGAAAATAAATCAATAAAAAAACCGTAACAATATTTTTTATACAATAAATTACAAAAATATCATATTCGCGTTAAGATAGTTACACGAGATTTCGATACTTCAGCGGAAATACATTCTGCGCATGTCGAGCACTTTGTCGCCGGATTCCAAAACAGTCTTCATTTTTGGTAAACATGAGAGCTGTTCCAACTTGGGTCGACAAAGTTCAAGACAGAGACAAACTTGAACAATGGTATGATGTTGTTATCTCATGCAAAACACATTTTTTGTACGATATAACACGAAAAAATCTTCAATAAATATTCAGATTTGATGTCATCGGTCCGTGGTTAAGCACAACAATCGGACTCCGCAAGTCATTTTGACACATTCATACAAACATAACTTCATTCTAATGAAAATCAGTTCATACTTAACTTCCTTCTATGATACCCCAAAGCAAACTTTATAGGTAGAACATGTGGGTAACATTCTCTTAGTTGAGATGATTCACTGAAATTCCTGGGTACAGACTTTTCTGTACTCGGTCGTTTCGGTACTTGTTTTACACGTTTCGGTACTCCCCACTATCGTTTCGTTATTTTTAAGTTGTTCAGCACTAGGACAATAGGACATACGTTTCAAATTGCACTTTTTGTCTGGTGTGTTACTGATTATTATATTTCATGTTTTATTCGGTAAAAAGTTAGTACCGAAACATCCTATTCTTAAGTACCAAAACGTCTACTGTAGAATTCTTATTCGGAACTCAAACATGGCACATACCTACACCAACAATGTTAGAGGTTTTACACGTAGAAAAACTTTTGACAGGCGACGCGTCAGCAAAATAATATCCGATAGAAAAAAGGCCGACTAGCGGCCTCTCATGTTATGGGAGTAGGCACATACCATGATGCCACAAATCGCATTTCTTTTTCAAATTTGTTATTTGTTTTCATTTTAATAAACGATACACCACACAAAATAATCCAATAAATAGACTTAATAATTCACAGGTGAGGAAATCTATTTTTAGAAGGAACTTGTACAGAAGGGTTATCAATAAGTGACACAGTAAGTGTGTGGTCCTTTTTTCTTTCCAATTAGACCCAGCGAGGCACTGCCTGATATATTAATTATACAGGTGTTACTATACACTTTGACCCTGATATCATGAACTGTAGAACATCTTATCATAAGCTTGAACTAGTCCTACACATGTAGTTAAAAAGTACAACAAACACAGTACAGCAGCTGAAGCAGTACACTGTAAACAGTTATAATAGTTAAATAACTGACATAAGAACATTGGTCTGAAGCTCCAACACTTGTCTGTAAATTATGTAATCTGTGAATTTGATTTTTTCAGTATATGGGACCTGTGCTTTAGACCTGATGGCAGCCAGTTGATTGTTGCAGCTGGTAATCGTGTCTTGGTGTATGACACGAATGATGGCACGCTCATCCAACCTCTCAAGGGTCACAAGGACACAGTGTATTGTGTAACCTATGCAAGGGATGGAAAACGATTCGCTTCTGGATCTGCTGATAAAAGTGTTATTATCTGGACAAATAAACTAGAGGGCATTCTGAAATACACGTTAGTATCTGCAAAATTAGACAGATGAGTTAAGAGTGGTAATATATTATAGTGATGGGCTGATGGTCATTTATAATTGAATTTCAATTAGTTTGCCCATTCTGATTTCGATTATTGATTACAAGTTATAATCGGAATACTGAACTTAAGTGTCAAATGTATGCAATGTAAAGTATAAATTGAACTTTATTTATTCTTATGATTTTTATTATACGATTGGTCATAAGTAGACAAAAAATCAAAGCTGCATAAAAGTTGCCTGAAATTCATTCATCGTAAAAGAACATATCCTGATGTTAACAAGTCTGTATGTTAGTGTATATATAGTGTATATTTGGGGATTCAGTCCTATACAATTATAAAGTAATAATGCTGTTGATCATAAATCGGTTTACTATTTCCAATTACAAACTGAATATCGATTATTATTTTGAACCAATTGCCCATCACTATTATGTTAAGAACCTTTAAAACTTTTCATTGGAGATCGAAGTACAGAGAAAACATCTGTTCATGTCATATAAAGTATTTACAATTTTGATGGACAGTCAATTTAAAATCACAATCAATATTGTAAATTGATTGATGATCATTTGCATTTTTTGGGACTGCATACAAAGTTATTTACTTTACATTAGTATTTTTTCTTGTATTTAAAAAGAAAATGATTATATTGATTGTGGAATTTATAATCAATGATCAGAATTGTAAAGGGGAAACCAATTAATTTTGATTATAATCAATCATCACTAATTAACAATGACACCTATATTTGACAAAATAATAATGAAAATATTTAAAAGTTTAAATTAAGTGTTTCTGTACTGTGAATGAATTGAGTTTGGACAATTATCAAGGAGAAGGAAATTCTGCTGGATCCAAAAGTCTGCAGTACCCCTCCAAAATGAGGAGGCTTTTAGCAAGTTTGCTAATATCAGTGTTTTTTTTATTGTTTATTCATATTTGACCAAGAAACAGCTGAGTTGTAAGTCGATTGAGAATTAATGTTGATCTATTTCTATTTCAGTCACAATGATGCTATACAGTGTCTGTCCTACAACCCTTTAACTCACCAGCTAGCCAGTTGTGCTGTCAGCGACTTTGGTAAGCTATCAGTAGTACCAGCAGATTACATTGAAATGTTTTAAAAGTGTGACATGGCTTACTTACCATTTCCATGCTTTATTTGATGGAAATTCTGCTGTGCTGTATTCCTATAGTATTAGTGTATTCTAACGAATTTGTTATTTATATGTGTACCTTTGTTAGACCTTCTTGATTCAGAGTAATTTTTAAAGAGTTTTAGCTCGTTACGTATTGAGGTAAACCTGTATATATTTTTGCTATGACATTGATTAGTGAATTTTGACCTCTTGTCTTTCCCATAAACCTTGGGTGTACAATTTTTATCAGGGCTGTGGACAGCGGAACAGAAGAATGTATCTAAGCACAAAGTAAACAGCCGTATCACTTGCTGTAGTTGGACCAATGATGGGCAGTACTTGGCTCTTGGTCTGTACAATGGACTGGTCAGCATCCGTAACAAGGTCAGTTGCACCTACAGATCGATTGAAAAAGAGAATTAGCTGGTAATCATACAGCTGAAAACACAATGATTTTCATAATAGTGTTGAGGAAATATGCTTAAAGTTATCCTCATGGTGTCATCAGTGAGTTCTTTTATCATTTCAGATTAACATGTTCTATTTGAAAGTTTGATATTTACAGGCTTTTATATTGAAAAACTTTATGTCTAGTTCCAACACATTTAGAAATGTCTTTGTTTACATTTCTTACATTTTTATGAGTATAGGGTGGAGAGGAGAAAGTGAAGATTGAACGACCAAATGCAGCAACATCTCCTGTCTGGTCCCTACAATGGAACCCCAGCAGGTATAAGTTTTTAACATGCTTTAAAAATAATAAGTTATTAACATATATTCAATTTTTCAAAGAAATTGAATGTATATTCAGACAACAATATAAAATCACATGTAGATTGAATTAACACTTGAAAGAAAAATCGCCAGAAGTTCTGATACTAACAAGCTTCACTATGTTATTTATGCTCGAATCCAATGCTGTTTGTGAAAAAGAAAACTTCTGTTAAAAATAACAGTATATATGAGACTAATGTTTATGAAATTTGAAAAAGTTTTACTTTCGTGATAATTAAGAAAAAAATATTCAATGTTTGTTTGACAGGCCCCACCATGCAAATAATTATTCACATTTTCGAAAGTAAGTGTGTATGTAGAAATAGCTATAGGGTGTTGGGTGATGTGTGGTCCAAGGGAGATAACTCTCCATTCTTGTGTGATCTGCAAGTTTTTTCCAGCTTTATGCAAAATTATTTGAATTAAAAAAAAATGTGGATCAAAAATGAAATTTTGTTTTCTGAATTTGTAACTGGTATTTGTAGTTATATGCTTTTCAACTTATTTGCTTGGAGGACTTTGCTAGACTGCCAAATATTGAAATAGTTTGGAATGGCCATCAAGACTTAGAATTATTTAGTTGTAGTCTGTTAACAGTAATGCTAAAGTTTCATTTGAACTATTGTTGAAAATTATAAAATGAATATATAAGGGTCAAGGGTTGTCATGCATGATACTGTTCACCAATGTCCATTTCAATTTCAGAATAGACAAATCCTTTTTAAATGTATGCATGAAAGAATATACTGTATATAGCTCAAAATGTGTGATATGTTTTAGAGTTTGATCAAAATTTGAAGTCTTAACACAATTAACTTGGTCATTTTAATTTGGAAAAAAAGACATGTAAGTAAGAAATCTTTAAGCACACGAACCTTGTCTTTTATTATCACAGAGATGAATGATTTATTACTGTTTTACTTACAGAGATGAGACCTATGATGTGTTGGCTGTGGCAGATTGGGGACAGAGACTTTCATTTTATCAATTATCAGGGAAACAGGTAATTTGTTAGATCAGGTTGTGACATTGCAAAAGTCAGATAACTACTTGAATCCATGTGTTTGCATATAAATGAATGTTGATTATTAAAAGGAAAAAGCTTGTTTGTTTAAAAAAATGTTGTTGATTATCAAAGGGGAGGGGGGGGGGGGAGAAACCATGCCGTAACATTTGTCTGTGATTATTTTGGTTTGTTACAGATTGGTAAGGACAGAAACCTTGGGTATGATCCATGTACAGTCAGCTGGTTCTCCAAGGGCGAGTATGTGGTGATAGGCGGAGCCAACAAGCAATGCACTCTCCATACTAAAGAGGGGGTCAAGCTTGGGGTCATCGGGGACCAGGCATCATGGGTATGGGGAGCAGCGGTCAAGCCAGACTCAAACTATGTGGTATGTACTTGTGTTCAAAGATAAATATATTTTACATTGATTTACATAATCCAGATTATTTTGCATTTGGTTATACATTTATAGGAATAAGGAAAAAGCAGAAAAGATTGTCATGGAAAAGAAAAAGAAACATTCTTACTGAAATGATGGTAGCGCATGGTTTCACGTAATGTTTTTCTTCTGAAGGCTGTCGGCTGTCAGGATGGAACAATAGGATACTACCAGTTGATCTTCAGTACCGTACACGGACTGTATAAGGACCGATACGCCTACAGAGACAACATGACTGATGTGATCATACAGCACCTCATCACCGACCAGAAAGGTATGTTAGCGTATATAGACGACGGTAAGGTAGGCTGTGGAGAGATACAATGCTAACAATGTGTAAGGTGTATAGTGCTGATAAGATCTGTGTTTTCCAATGTTCTATAATCTCTATTGATGAACTGGTGTGAAGTTTATTCAGAATAGTCAAGTTAAAAAATAACAAGCTTTAATGTAGCACTTCCACAAAAAACCGAAACTGAAACAATTGTGGTTTAAACAAACATCATTCATTTATAATTGATTTATATCTTTGATAACTGCAGAAGTGTATGCACTTGCTTGAAAAATACCTTACGATCTGTTAAAACTTGTACTTTTAATCAAAGTAGAGAGAAGACGGGTCATCATTGATTACTGGAAAAGAATTTCAGTATTTGTTTTCTTATGTTGAAATAGTATAATTGTTCTTAGAAACAAAGTATATATTTAATTAAAATGATGATGGTGCTGTAATTCTATAGTGTGTAAATTAACTTGTGAATGCTGTTCAGGCTACGCTTTTATGGTACTCCGATTTCCCTTCAATTACACGCTATGTTGTTTAACACAAATTGTTGATTTTTGTCGACCCTCCTTCTACATATATAGTAAACCTTCGAGATTGGAAAAGCATGCATACTTCTGCTGCCCAAGACGTAAAACAGAGAATAGGGGCACTTACTCCTCCAGCTGACCCAGATATAGGTTTAAGCCATGCTGTTATATTGAATTCAACCCAAGTTCATGTTTTGTTTAACCTTGTTCGTGTTTGGTTAGATCTTGTTCTTGTTGACTTTACAAGTTTGTTCTTGTATTTCTGATTGTCAAATATGTTTGGTGTTTTTTTCTGTAATTTTTTCCCACTTAGGTAGACATCTAGTCAGTTGTCAGAATTGTCATCAAAAAAATGTCTACACGTCATTTGATTGTAGATTTTTAAGATGGTGAAGAATGTTATTCTTTTGTCCTGGAAGAAGATGCTATAGAGTAAAAACAGAAACAATAAAATCAAAAAATGATTACTTTAATGCTTGCTGAGTCCATCTTTTTAAAAGTTAAACCATCATAAATAATTTTAATACAGATAAAAACTGACATTTGTGTGACAGCTTTAATCACATTTAGTGACCATATGCGTGTAGTATGTGATTCCATTAATATAAGATACCAGTTTTTATATACAACATATATTCTTTTAGGATTTCCAGCAAGCTTCCAATCTTAAAGGTTAAAAAGATATATTATTAAAGATTGATGATACTGAGGTTGTAAAGCTCTGAGAGACGAACTGTATCAGGTTCTGGAATCTCTGATGAAAGTTGTTCTCTAAATCAATGTGTTCTTCAAATTTCTTGTGTTCATTATTAAAATGATTAATTAAAGGGCAACAAGACATGGACTCATCAATTGACTGACATTGTGCTCTTTCTATTTTCAGTGAGAATCAAATGTAGAGATCTTGTGAAAAAGATTGCTATCTACAGACACAGATTAGCTGTAAGTATGATAGATTTATTATATACAGAGCTGTAAGTAACATTATCCTAAGAATGGGTGCATTGCTATTGTCCGGATATATTTTTACCTTACTGTTATGTACATTTCATTGCAGGTTCAACTGCCAGACAAGATAGTGATATACGAGTTATACTCCGACGATGCAGCTGACATGCATTATAAAGTCAAGGAGAAGATAAACAGGAAATTTGACTGTAACTTATTGGTCGTTTGCTCACAAAACATCATACTATGTCAGGTATGTACGACATGTATTTTCCATATTCTTAATTGTAAAATGTTGGGTTCAAACTTTCACTGCAGTCCTGTTACTAAGATACAGTGATATAAATATGAAAATCATTGGTAAAGGTCAATTACATTTAGTAAATATAGATTTCTCAGTCATTTCTATATAGCTTTGTGACTTTATCAGAGTGATAGCTGGAAACAAAATCAGTTTAAATGGACGGGTTGGTCGAGTGGTTAACACTCTGGCCTTCCACGCAGGTGGCCGGGGTTTGATCCCCGAAGTCTTCGTACGCTTGGAATATTTAGAGAAAATTGTTTTTCTCCTGTCCACACAACTCCAACAACTCAGGTGGAGTATAAAATGGTCTGGGGTGGATGTTGCGGTATCTGTGCTGTAGCATTCAAGTGTGGTGGCACTATAAATGATACCGTTAGAAGCACAGTCCCACTACATGCCTAATAAGGCAGCTCTTTCAAATTCCACAAAAATGTATTGATTGTATAGATTGTATATCTATGTACTGTAAAGCGCTTTAGAGTGGCTTATTCTAGCTAGATAGGGCGCTATATCAAATGTATATTTATTTATTTAGATAATCTAAAGTAAGTCCTATCACTTTTTCTGTTTCCAGGACAAGCGCCTCCAGAGCTTCTCCTTCCAGGGTATCAAGGAAAAGGAGTGGGTGATGGAATCGCTGATTCGGTACATCAAGGTGATAGGTGGTCCCCCAGGTCGTGAGGGGCTCCTTGTCGGCCTCAAAAATGGACAGGTTAGTTGTGAGGTGGGCCTACTGCCGCAAGGCAAAGAGGGACTGCTAGTTGGGCTACAGAACGGACAGGTAAATGTAGAACTGGTGGTGGGCTGGGACCGGTGATCCTGTCTGGCCAGTGTTCAACAGCAGTGGGGAAAATTCAACCAAGTAATCAGCAATACAAGTCAGAATATTTTTAATTATATGTTTTTTTTAAAGAGATTGGAAAGAGATCAGAATATTTTCATTGTATTCAAAATATAGTACAAATGCCACTCGTATATGGAAAAAATCCCATTTAAGATAATGAAAAAGTCTGCTTAAATATATAAATGAAAGTCTGACTGTGAAAGGTAGAAATAAAGGAAGACTATCATCACACTTTAGTTGTTTACTTCTGTACAAGAGGTCATTATTAATTTGGAATCATATTTCAGATGTTCTTTGATTTAAAAAAAAAATCAAAAAAAATCCAGAATTCTCTAATTTCAGTCACGTGTCACAGCACATTTTCTTTTTTCACTTTATATTTATATCAACAAGTCGAGTTTTCATCACTCCACAAACACTGGTCAGTTAGGCCTGGTCCTAGACTGTCACACTGATGTGAACTCACGACCGGCTTTCTCCCTGGCATTTCTCATCACACAACTAAACGTCACTCTGATGTGAACTACCACGCTACATTCTCTCTTCCAGGCATCTGGCATCCATACAATTACATCCAAAATTGTCACTATTAAACTCAATGGTTTGTCACCTGCATTTTTAAGAAAGAAAGAAAGAAAGAAAAATAGAAAGAAAGACAGAGAAAGAAAGAAAGAAATATGTAGTAAAAATATTTGCCGTGGATATATTCAGTAATATAGAAACACAACACTGAAAGTCTCCAGACAATTCTTATTCTTACATTAGTTTACCACACTACAAGGTACACTTCAGTTAATTTACCACCTTAACCCTTTCACCACTGTAGACCATAATGGACTCATCCAAATAAAAGTATGGCATATAGTCTACTAAAGTTACCTAGGGGTGAAAGGGCTAAGTTAAGTTTCCTTCAGTCTGTCACTGCTGTAGAATCAGTAAAAATTTTGATTGGGAAAGTACCTATTGACTTACATATTAAGAGTTGTACCATATTTGTTCTGTATGTTTATTAGATTTTAGAAGAATGGCATTCCCCTTTAATATGTAAATTGCTGTGATCACAACAAATACTTGGTTTTAAACACAGTTATAATTAACTGGTTGATGGATAACACTATTAACCCTTCAGTTGAATGTTTAGCAGCAGATACCCAAATAGTTTGCATTATATTTAACCTAACTCTTGAGTCACAATCCACTGGAAAGTTAATGATATTTTCGTAAAGATTCAGACCACACTGCACTCATAATTGATTACATCAATAACTCAATAAATGAAAATATAAAATACTTAAAGAAAATTTGTTAAAGATTATTTGAAAGAAAATGGATTAAGAATATTAGACAAAAGTGAAAAAGGAAAAATCCATTTGAACTTAAGTCATTATATGATTTTTGTATATTGTATAAAAAAATAATATCAGTCGCTGTCATTCAAAGTTTAAGCCTTTCCAACATTAATTAGAATAAGATTACTGGAAGAAAAAATTCAGGTTTTCATAATAAGTAACAACTAATGATGTGTAGTTTTAGTCATGTGTTGCATGTCCCTGCTTGTAAAGTTTTGTTTACATTTTACTTGTACATGACATATCGAAACACTTTGTGCATGCCTGTTAAGATGTGAAGTTATTACCCTAAGCTGTCACTGACCTTACGTTATACTCCTCACCTGAACAGATCATGAAGATATTTGTGGACAATCCATTCCCCATCATGCTCCTGAAGCAGGCGACATCTGTCCGGTGTCTGGATGTTTCCGCCTCTCGTACCAAACTGGCCGTCGTGGACGAGCACAGCACCTGTCTGGTGTATGACATCAACACCAAGGAACTCCTATTCCAGGTAAAATATCTAATTAACAAATATACCTGTGCAGGTAGAACACAATAGGTTAATTACAGTGGAATAGTCAACCTTGAGTTCTTTTGTATGTGAAGTTATACATGTACAAAGAATGTGTTGATTAAAGCTGCAAGATACAGCACAAGGCAGACTGAACCTCATGTAGTATTTGTTGTAGTAATGTGTCATGTTGTTGTCTCCCCTGTTACAGGAGCCCAATGCTAACAGTGTAGCATGGAACACCCACTACGAGGACATGTTGTGTTTCTCTGGAAACGGTCTCCTCAACATCAAAGCCAGCAACTTCCCCGTCCACCAACAGAAACTACAGGTAACTCTATTATCAGCCCGTCCTGTAAAAAGCTGAGAACTTTAGAGATTACCCATTGACAACATTTTACAGAAGTATATTATGATTTTTTAGGTCACTTGAGACAAAGTCTTATTTGACCTATTGCAATCGCATTTTGTCTGTCATCATTCTTGAATAAAATACTCTTAACTGATTGAAAGGTCCTCAAATTTTTGTTGTGGGATAGTTTGATAGTACAAAAAGTAAGGCCCCTAGAAAGGGGTAAAATAGGTTAAATAAAAATAAGCAACTTTTTCTCATGAATCCTAAGGCTCATAATATTTATATAATTCCATAATTATGGTAAACCTTACCATAACCAGTATAATGGAGATTGGAGAAGACTTATTTATTAGGCCTTGTCTGTTTTTGAACAGTAGTATATGATAAATATTGGATACTCCACAACATCATTTTGTGGGCAAAAAAAACAAAATCTGCATGAATTAATATGCTGGTTCAAAGTGTCATAAAGCAAGTTTAATTCTAAAATAACTTTGTTTAGCCCTTTCACCACTGTAGACAGTGATGGACTCCTCCAGATTAATGCGTGGTAGAGTCTACTAAAGTTATGTAGGGGTGAAAGGGTTAGAGTCATGTATACCAGGTATATTGATTCTTTATTAATCTTGGTCATCTTTTTCAGGGCTTTGTGGTAGGTTTCAGTGGGTCAAAGATATTCTGTCTCCACGTTTACTCCATGTCCTCAGTAGATGTACCACAGTCAGCGTCCATGTACCAGTATCTGGAGAAAAAGTTTTTCAAGTAGGTGTCTGATAATATGCATATTGTATATGATAGCCAAGATTCCTATATGCCTACAGCATAAGCACCGTATATAAGCAGCGTATATATGTATCATATATGAAAAATGTGTAAAAATATTGATAAATTTGTTGTCTTCAACAAAATTGTGATTTCTATAGTAACACATGAACAGTATAATTATGAGGAGGAGGATAAAATGATAAAGAAAAAAATGTATTCATAATCAATTTATGGTCACTGTTATTGTGTAAAATAGATTGTGGTTTTGAAAATGAATGTATTGTGCTATATAGGGATGCATACAAAGTTGCCTGTCTTGGAGTGACTGACGGGGACTGGGAGGTGCTGGCCCACGAGGCTCTGGAGGGACTTGACTTTGACACAGCCAAAAAGGCCTTTATCAGGATCAGGGACCTACGCTACTTAGAGCTCATCCACAACATAGAGGTAAACACCACTGTAACAGGCTTAATTAATTGTACGTTATTTAGTATTTACATTAAATTTCTAAAGTCTTGTTAGATTTTCATGGTAGATTTTGATACAGAGTTAAAATAATAAATACGCTTGCAAGTTTAAATTTATATGTTCTTGTGCATTTTTAGCTTCTTCGTTTTATATTTCCAAGTAATACATTTCTTTCTATACCTATTTATATACATGTATAAGCAATGGCAAAATTAGATTTTTAAATGGTATATGATTATAATTATAATCTATGTAGCATTTTACAGATAATATCAAAGTAAATAGTGAACCTGGTATCTAATTATGCTTGAGATGTAATATAATAATATCCTTTTAAACTTTTAGCTCAGTCTTTATGAAATGATATAAAGATATGGTGTGGAATATTATAAATAATTGATATATGATGTCAGATGATGATGATGAGGATGAGGATGTTGTCAGATGATGTCAGATATGATGATGATGATGATGATGATGATGATGAACTTTATAGACACCTTTGTTTAATGTGTATGAACAATCATGTACTTATGTAGAATGTCATATATGTCTTGTCTTATAATATTTATTTTTTAAATTGATATATATTTGTGTTCCCAGGAAAGGAAGAAGCGTGGAGAACAGGATACCATGGTGTTCCTGGGAGATGTATATGGTTACCAGGGCAAGTTCCACGAGGGTGCTAAACTCTACAAGAAATCCAATCACGAACACAAGGCCATGAACATGTACACAGACCTCAGGATGTTTGATTATGCTAAGGTATATATCATACAGAATGCATTTTTATCACATAATGTACTGTGTTTTCCAGTGAATATACCCATGTCATATTGTTTTGCGTATTAACCCATGTAATATGACCTATCAGCCCTGTGATTGGTTGTAAGTTTCAATTGTTTCAATTGTGACGTCACGCCCAGGACAAGTACCTGACGTCACAGATTTACACACTGGAGTCAAAATGGGGGCTTTTCATATTTCAAGGTTGCATGAAAATTGTCGTTTTACGAAATAAATGCCACAGATCTTGATCACGTGATAAAAAGGATCTTACACTCATTTCCATTTCATTTGAAATTTATGAAACTCTTCACCAATTTTTTCATTTTAGCTCACCAGAGGCTTGCTAAATTGAAAAATTCTAAGACACATTTCATAAATCTCATATGAAATGGAAACTCATATAAGATCCTATATATACTGACCTCTGACGTTTGAGTGTGCTACGGTTTATTAAACAGATTATGTGTACCGACCTCTGGATGGTTGAGTATGCTAAGGTATATATTATACAGAATGTGTACTCTGACCTCAGGATGTATGAGTGTGCTTCCGTACAGTATATTAAACAGAACATGAACACTGACCTCTGGATGGTTGAGTATGCTAAGGTATATATTATACAGAATGTGTACTCTGACCTCAGGATGTATGAGTGTGCTTACGTACAGTATATTAAACAGAACATGAACACTGACCTCTGGATGGTTGAGTATGCTAAGGTATTTTTCATGAAAAGGTTTTATGATCCTAACGGTGAGCATACAATGTCTTTTTACATTGGTTACTGATATAATGCATCAATACTTTAAAGTAAATGTACTGACTTGTCATATGTGTTGTCAGAAAAGATGTTAAAGTTTCTGTGAAGCTCAATACCAATACAACAATGAATAGCCACACATGAACATATTTTAGCATATGATTTCATCAGTCAAGACTTCCTGCTCAATTGTTTAATTTTGCACTTTTAAATTATTTACACCCTGAATTTGATGTTACCAGGAGTACATTGGTTCTGGAGACCCGCTGGATAAGAAGATGCTGATCACCAAGCAGGCAGACTGGGCAAAGAGTAGTAATGAACCCAAGGCTGCGGCTGAGATGTATATATCTGCTGGAGAGTTCTGTAAGGCCATAGACATCATTGGTGACCATGGCTGGGCTGACATGTAAGTTCTAAAACATCCACTTAAATCCTAACGCATTTTTTTTCTGTGGCATTGCACTATAAAAATTACATATCTGTTACTGTAGGAGCCAAATTTAAACATTTATAAATACAAATTTTCAAAAATATTGTTTGCATAAAATTTATGAATATTTTCTGTTCTTTTTCCTATCAAGTATTTTGATAGCTAATGAATTGTGAGTTCTGGCTATACAAGAAAGCTAGGAAGTCTAGTAGACTAGGATAATTCAGAAAGCTAGGAAGTCTAGTAAACTAGGATAATTCAGAAAGCTTCAATGTGTTACAGGATGATTGACGTTGCTCGTAAACTGGACAAAGCTGACCGTGAAGCGCTGTCCCGAGCAGCAGCCCACCTGGCCAAGATGGAGCAGTACCCATACGCTGCTGAGGTGTATAGTAAGATGGGAGACATCAAGTCCCTCATCAACCTACATGTTGAGGCTAAACACTGGGATGATGTGAGTAAAGCCAGTCATTCACATGAAGTACAATACCAGTGATTTTATCTTTGGTGGTTTGTTAGGCTATTATTGATCTAAGGCTTGAAGCTGAAGCAGTTTTACTGGATCAATTTGGATTTATGGCTAAAATATATATTTACATGTGATTCAACCATTCCAACACCTATTATATGAAAGAGACTTTAAATTATTATTTTAAACTACATCGTTCATGTGATGCAAATATTTATTTAAGGCTTGTAAACTGTAAGTAATACTGATTTCTATGAGAAACTTATTAATTGTACAATAAGCTTCATGAAAGAAACTCCAATAGTTTGATTACCTGGTGTTATAAGTACCTCTGAGTCAGTAATTTTTCTATCAGCAAATTATAAAGCTTCTCTTGATGTTTATTTATCAGTATTCCGATGATGTGAAAAATTGAAAGCAAACGAAATTTCAAAGTAATAAATACCTATCATAGGATCTGTTTGAATAGCAGGACAAATTTAGTCCTTGAGATAGAATTGGTCAGCTGTGGTCAAAACTTTTTAATTTTATTGTGAAAGTAAGTTTTGCTAATGCACTCTGAGAAACTTTGTTAACAGATGGATGAACTGTTAATGTACCATTATTAAAATCTGCCTTATACTATAGAGTGATGACCGTGTCGAATGGAAGCTTCCTAGAACTAAAATGGAAATCTTAATTCTGAATTAGCCCTTTCACCCCTATGCAACTTTAGTAGACTCTCCCATGCATTGATCTGGATGAGTCCATTATGGTCTTCAGTGGTGAAAGGGTTAGTGTAAAGTTGGTTATTATTAGCTGCCTTTTAGAGGAATTAATCACTTTCAATTTTAACCAAACAAAATGCTTAACTGTGCTGAGTAGACCAGACTGAATATCTCTATCATCTCAGATCTGCTGTTAATGACACTAATAGAAGTTGGCTATGTTTGATTGACAGGCATTCACACTGGTGGAGAAACACCCAGAGTACAAGGAAGAAGTCTACGTACCCTACGCCCAATGGCTGGCCGAGAATGACAAGTTTGAGGAAGCTCAACAAGGTATAGAAGGATAGCTACATACCATCTGTATCGGCATGAAATGATAGACATTCACTTTACATTTAAATACAAAATGTTGATTTTCAGTGTATACCAGTATTTATATGAAGATTTATCCTTATAAATATCCCAGCACACACGCAGGCATTCACACATAGGGAGATATTAGCCAGGTGGCATAGGACTAGTAGTTAACACCTGATGATTAAAGGCAGCTCCTGCAAATTCCTCAAAAATTGTATTGAATAATATATATGCTTATTGTATTTATTGAATATCCGTGTACTGTAAAGCGCTTTAGAGTGGCTTATGTTAGCTAGATAGGGCGCTATATCAAATGTTGTATATTATTATTATTTTCAATATATAAAACAGGCCCATATGTATATTTAAATAATTCTGTCACAATGAAATTGAAGGGAATGAAAAGTTCTGACCATTTGTATGGTTAGTTACCCTTTCACATTTCTCCTGTTTTCATGACAAATACTAATAAAACTTCGACGTACTAGCTAGTGTAATGCACAACAAAACAAATGAGTTAATGTTTCAGCAAGGTGCACTCTTAAAAACCATTATCATCGCTGTAACCTTCCATGACATTTCAGTGAAGTATAATGTATGTAAATACCTTGAATGATACACATTTGAGGATGTTGCTGTATTAGGTCATTTTCACATTGTAACTGTTTTTAGAAGTTTTGGCTACTTCATCTTCCAATGAATATCCTTGAAACAATTCCAAAACAAGTCAGGTATCATATAGGCGGATTTGTTCTTATTTATGATGTCTTATTTTTTTAAATGAACTTTTTTTGAGGTAATTATAGATTGAAGTAAGTGATGTTAAATAATATTTCTTTCCTCCATCAGCTTTCCACAAAGCTGGACTGCAGACAGAGGCTGTCAAGGTTCTGGAACAGTTGACACACAACGCTGTTCTGGAAAGCAGGTTCAACGATGCTGGCTACTACTTCTGGAAGTTGTCCATGCAGTGTCTCGACATAGCGAAAGGTAGGTGGATAGGCCAAGATAACTGTAATATGTAGTTTATATATAGTCAATATACCCTGATCTTTCTTGTATATCATGGTATTACAAGCACTTTTCTCATTTAGGTTCTTTTCCTGTAAAAGTAGATCTTTTAGAGCCTAGATCAACTCATAAAATCTGTTTATACATCTTTTCCTGTATGAGGTCAAAATGCAAAATAACGTTTCACTTTGATTAACACTAAAATTATCGTAAATTTGTTAGCGCTGTCTATGAAATAGATGTGTACTATATGTAGTGTGTACTATGTATGTAGTGTGTACTATGTAGATGTTTATTATTGTAGATTTGTTGGAGCTATCTATAAAATAACATTCACACAACCAATAAAGTCTGTACTAGCCATTTTGGACTATTTGTTTCAAATTTTGTTTGTAAGTTACTGATGTAGCAAAAATAACTGTCATAATTTTTTTAGCTCACCTGGCCCGAAGGGCCAAGTGAGCCTATGGCATGGTGTGGCGTCCGTCCGGCGTCAACTTTTAACTTTAAACAACATCTTCTCAGTAACCAAAAGGCCTAGGGTGATCATATTTGGCCAGAAGCATGCTTGTATGAAGGGCTACCAAATGTGTTCAAATAAATGACCTTCATCAATTTTCAAGGTCACAGGGGTCAAATATGTTAAAATCTTTAAACAACTTCTTCTGAATAACCAAGAGGCCTAGGATGATGATATTTGTCCAGTAACATGCTGGGATGAATGGCTACCAAGTTTGTTCAAATGAATGACCTTGATCCACTTTCAAGGTCACAGGGGTCAATTGTCTTAAAATCTTCAAACAACTTCTTCTCAAAAACCAAAAGGCCTAGGGTACTGATATGGGGCCTATAACATGCTGGGATGAAGGGCTACCTAGTTTGTTCAAATGAATGACCTTGACCCACTTTCAAGGTCACTGGGGGCAGATGTCTTAAAATCTTCAAACAACTTCTCAATAACCAAAAGGCCTAGGGTACTGAAATTTGGCCTGTAGCATGCTGGGATGAAGGGCGACCAAGTTTGTTGAAATGGATGACCTTGACCCACTTTCAACCTAATGTCCTTGTTCGACATTCAAGGTCACAGGTGTCATATGTTTAAATCTTTTAATAGGTTCTTATGAATCAAACACTGATATTCTGCCTGTAGCTGTATTTTAGTCCACTTTTAAGATTACAAGTGTGAGATTAATACCAGGTGAGCGATGCAGGCCCATTGGGCCTCTTGTTTATACCTAGTCTGTGAAGTATGTCTTTTCGGAAATTGTGATGTTTCTTAATGGCATCAATTTTTCTATAAATGTATCATAACAATGCCAAAAATCAAGTTATCTCTATCTTCCTCCTATTAAAGTATTTATCCCCTGAACCCGAATGTTTTGATAGATGGTAGAAGGGACTGACACATGGGTAGTTGCTGTATTATAGTAGTGATTTATCAACATTATTTTATCCTATCAAATATTTCCTTATTCAGACGATGAAGGTAAGAGTTCTTTATCTGCTTGATATATTATAGTTTTACTTTCGTTTAATTTACATACAAACACAGTTCTTCTTACCACCGTTTCGTTCATTATATTTTCACTTTATGATTGTTCTTGGTCAATTAGTGTGACAACCATTTAGTGATATTATGTTAACATTTTATTTTCTAGTGGTGTACAGTCCAAGAGTATTTGTAATTCGGCAGTGTATCGTACGCCCGAGAGTTTTTAATATTCGGCAATGACACTTTTTCATTGCAAACAAGAATTTAACTTGCAACAAAATATTTTAATGAAGTTATTTTGATTGTTTTTAGTATTTTGGACATTTGACACATCAGTTAAATCTTGTTTTTAGTCTTTTGGACATTTGACACATCAGTAAAATCTAATAGCCTTTTAAATTAGATTAAATTAAAAAAACAAAATTATTGACCAAACAAAACGGATTTGTGAATGATTCTTTTAAAATTTAAAAACAAATGTGAATTCCAACAATGTGGTAGAGGGACTTTTCATTGTGATGTTGTTGTGATATTATTTGACACTTAATTTGTGTTTACACTTTAGTAACTTGAGTTGGGTACATATATATCCATGTAGACTTAGGGGATGGTTGTGTGATTGCTGTGGTTTGCTTTTACCCTTGTAGCTGCCATATAGAGTCCTGCAAATGGATATATAGGTCAATGAGTGTGTTATAATGACATTTCTATACAGGAATCAAGAGTTTACAATTCCACTACCCTAATGCCCAGACTAGATCTGGTGGCTTAAATGACAGTGCTTGTGAAAAAAATCAGTATTTGCTTTGGAAATATAAGTCTGGCTATATAGTAAGTCTTTCTGCCAGCTGTTTCTCTTAATAAGAAAAGCACACCTTTAAAGAATTTATCAAGAAAGAAACAGAAACCATTGAGTTATAGCTAGATCAAGAAAGTCATTTCCTACAAGTAAAACAATTTTGTAGGGACCAGTCTCAGTGTATAGTTTTTTTAGAAACATTTCATTTTGTCTTATGCGGATGAGTGGGCAAAGCTACAAATAATATGTTGATGGTGATTCTAACCTTTAGCCCACTTGTTAGACAAGAACCAAATTTGTTCTTGTTTCAATGTAAGCATAACAGGTTTATAATAGATCTAGTCGAAGAAATTCAAAACCAATCAGTATTTTATAATAAAAAAAAGGTATTAAAAACCTGTTCATACTTAAATAGGCAAGGAAGCTTGTTGACCATAATATATTTACTATAAATAAGACATTATTTACACTTAGTGTTGCTTAAACTTCAGTAAGGTATATCAGTTGGTATATAATTAGTATATAAGCTTTAATATTGATTTGCTGTTTAGGAATGTTTGATTTCCTTTTGCAGTAATTGACGATCCTGATAAGAAGGAGGAGATGTTGAATAAGTTCCATGACTACCAGCGTAAAGCTGACATGTATTACGCCTACCATTCTATACAGAGATATACGGTAGGTTATTGTTTGAATTTGATGTAATTTTTTTCGATATGTTGACATATAACTATTTTATCTAACAAATTGTCGCTGACCTGAACTGAAGTACTAGTGAGTGTGCCTTACTTTAATGAACTATTTATCAATGAGATTGTGTGACACAATGAGTATGGAAAAATCAATGTTTTTGTTTTTAGTAACAGTTATTATACTGTAATATTAAAACTTGTTATATTTTCCCCATGCAGGACGAACCATTTACGTCCCATCTCCCTGAGGCATTATTTAACATCTCGCGCTATCTGCTCCACATGATGCAGGCCAATGTTCCTCACGGCATCTCCAAGGTGTATCCTTTATGTCATGGTATAGTATAGCAGATCTGGTGACATGACAGAGAATACATAGTAGGTGGGCTGGTCAGGTTTATCTTACGTAACAGTCTTTAAAGTAGAACTAAGATTATATATCACATATGCTGGATATTTCATATTATATTATTTTAGTGAATATTTTTCTTGGTATATTTTTAACTAAAAACATTACAGAATAGAAAAGTTTACATAGAGTTGTGATATACAGTAATACTATGCAAGTTTTAATGCTTTAATGATATTTATTTATGTAATTTATTGCTGTTTTAATATTTTTTTGTCCAAAAATACCTTAGCAAAACAACAATATCAGAGCTGAATAAGATAATACTTCATCATTTACAAATAAAGCTTCTTCATTTGGAAATAATTCAAGACATCTGTTTCTGACAAATTCTGTCCATTTGTAATACAAATCTTTTTTTTTTTACAAAAATAATTGTAATGATACATTGTGACCCTTGACGGTTGTAAGTGGTACTCTGTATGCCCTGGCTAAGCAGAGTAAGAACCTGGGAGCCTACAAGCTGGCCCGCTACGCCTACGAGAAACTGCAGTCTCTACGTGTTCCTTCTCGGTTCCTGGAAACTGTAGATCTGGGCAGCATCATGATCAGGTCCAAACCGTTCCATGACGGAGATGTAAGTTTGACATATTGATGAAATCATTTATTAGAATTACTTTTTATAAAGGACACAATGAGATTTCCAAAGGTTTTTAAATTCTCATCCCCTCTCTGTTTTTGCCTACTTCAAAATTAATAGGATTGTTGCTCTGTTTGTCTACTTAATTATACAGACTTCAAATGTTACGATTTTCAGTTTTGGAAGGAAGATATCACACATTTTAGACAGTTTTGTAAATTAAAAAAAAATCTTCAAATCTACAGTAGATTGCTTTTCCTTTTATATCAGGTGAATCATGAAAAACGTTGCTTCATGTGATTTGTTTCCAAACCATTTATTAAAGTTATTAGAGAAAAGTTAAATACTGTATACTGGAAAATTTACACCGCAGTTTAATTTTTCGCCTTTTTCGCCGACCCCAAAAAGGGCAAATTTATCAGGACAGCAAAAATATTTGTGCTTGACATACAATAAATAATAATTGCATGTGAAAGGCGAAATTAACACCAGGTGAACATGGATTTTTTTATTTGAGCAGGCAAAAGTTTCCCAGTATACAGTATTAAATATACAATGTAAAGGATATATTGACACATTTTTTATTACGAAAAACAAAAGTAACTTATTTAGTGTATGAGTAGTTTGTTAATATACAAAAGAGTATGTGTACATTTTTCCTGAAAAATTTATTTGTAGCAAATAATTTAATACTGGTTGAAAATATATATTTCTTTGCTATGTCTACATAAAATAAATAGGGAATAATGGAAAAATCCAATATATATATATATGTATACTTATTTATATTGATACTGTTTTGTCTGACAGGACCTGCTGCCAATGTGCTACAGATGTTCCACGACCAATCCTCTCCTCAACAATAACGGTGACTGCTGTATCAACTGTCGACAGCCATTTATACATTCCTTTGTGTCATTTGGTGAGTGATTGATTTATAATGCCACAACAATTGAACCTTCCTTTGTCTATTAAACATAAACTTTGGACATTCCTTTGTCCATTAAACATAAACTTTGGACATTCCTTTGTCTATTAACTTTGGACATTCCTTTGTCTATTAAACATAAACTTTGGACATTCCTTTGTCTATTAAACATAAATTTTGGACATTCCTGTGTCTATTAAACATAAA